ACAAGAATACCCCATTTGGGGGGGGGGGGGGAACAAGAATTACCCCATTGTGGGGGGGGGGACAAGAATACCCTATTGTAGGGGGGAACAAGAATACCCTGTTGTGCCAGGGGGGGGGGGACAAGAATACCCCATTGTGGGGGGGGGGGGACAAGACCCATACCCCATGTGGGGGGGGGGGCAAACAAGAATACCCCATTGTGGGGGGGGGGGGGACAAGAATACCCCATTGTGGGGGGAACAAGAATACCCCATTGTGGGGGGGGGAACAGTAATACCCCATTGTGGGGGGGGGGCAAGAATACCCCATTGTGGGGGGGGGGGGACAAGAATACCCCATTGTGGGGGGGAACAAGAATACCCTATTTTTTTTTGGGGGGGGGGACAAGAATACCCCATTGTGGGGGGGGGGGGAATACCACATTGTGGGGGGGGGAAACAAGAATACCCCATTTGGGGGGGGGGGGAAACAAGAATACCCCATTGTGGGGGGGGACAAGAATACCCCATTGTGTGGGGGGGGACAAGAATACCCTATTGTGGGGGGGGGGGGGAAAGAATACCCCATTGTGGGGGGGAAACAAGAATACCCCATTGTGGGGAACAAGAATACCCATTGTGGGGGGGGGGGACAAGAATACCCCATTGGGGGGGGGGGGCAAGAATACCCCATTGTGGGGGGGGGGGGAACAAGAATACCCCATTGGGGGGGGGGGGAAACAAGAATACCCCATGTGTGGGGGGGGGGAACAAGAATAGACCCTCTGCCTCCCCAACAGGCATGTTGTAAGAGTCAACTAACTGGGTGCTTTCTTCAAAGTCAGAGTGCATCTGCATGACAGGCAAGGAACCAACAATCTGCATGCAAGTAAGATTTGTAAAATGGATGTGCATGCAACACTCAGGTTCTGGAACAAGACTAATGTCCAGAGGTGGATGAACAACCAGAACCTCCCACCAGTGAACGCGAAGAAGAAGATGATGCAGGCAAAGCATAAACAGGCCAGAAAAAAAACAAAGTTATGACCAAACATACATGCACACCAAACAGTAAAGTCATAACAGAGCGAGGGCTATATTAAGGCACTGTGCAACAAGTGTGGCTTGCACAGGGCAGCAAAAGTCTGCAACTTGTTTTGGTAGTCTATGAATAAATAGTGATGCCGAAGTTTAGCTGAGGCACAAAATAGGGGGAAAATCAATTTGACCACATGTGCGTCACACGTCCTAAACATGGCCCAGAAGAAACGTTACGGGCTAATACAGAGAAGCAACAAAGGAATCATTCCATGAAAGCAGACAACCTCCAAAGCTGAGGGGGAAAAAAACACCATCAAATGAAACGCCCAGCCAGAGGTTTCAGTCACACGTGTGACAACAACCAAAAGCCAGACATGACTGAATGAGCTTACTCCTGTAACTGCCCTTTATCTGTTGTTATTCTTTGATAAAAAGTCAAACAAAGCAGCTGCTGAAATTCTGTACAGGACTGTGTTTCCATAGTCAAGGAAATATATGAAACATCATATACCATCAGATTATTTTATTGTAGATAATCAAGGCGCGACTGTAATACTGAAGAAACAACAGCAAATATGTAACAGTTAGAATAGAGCACATACACTCAACCAATAACTCTTACTACAAAAATGCGTTGGCAAGTTCTCTCAGTCACAAAAACACATACAACTGAAAGTGCACAAGCAAACACATCAGCAAGGTTTCTCATCTCAGATATAATGCACACCTGTGTTATCAGGGTCAGTCCTAACATGTGCTAAATGAAACACACTGGCTTTCTCATACCAGTCACCAGTGATATAAAACACAAATACTACAAACACCTTGTGCCTATTCATCTAATCATAGCTTCAGCACAACAGAGCCAGTCCATCTCCATTTGTACAGGATGTAGACAGAACAAACAAAGTCAAGATTCACATATTATCGGGGAAAAAAAAAATCAAATGCAACGTCACACATCAATGCAATGAACATGTAATAGATACATACATCCTAAACAGTTGTGCCGATTAAAATTCATGGAAAAGATACCTTGACACTAACATTCATAGCCCGACTTTTTCTAGTCACTTTCTGTAATATACAAATGACACCTGTTTAGCATTTACATCAAGGATAGTCATAACGATGGCCTATCGGTCTGTGACATAGACAAGTATAGTCATAATGATGGCCTGTCGGTCTGTGCTATAGACAAGTATAGTCAGAACGATGGCCTATCGGTCTGTGCCATAGACAAGGATAGTCATAATGATGGCCTGTCGGTCTGTGCTATAGACAAGGATAGTCATAACGATGGCCTATCGGTCTGTGCCATAGACAAGGATAGTCATAACGAATGGCCTGTCGAACTGTGCCATAGACAAGTATAGTCATAACGATGGCCTGTCGGTCTGTGCCATAGACAAGTATAGTCATAACGATGGCCTGTCAGACTGTGCCATAGACAAGTATAGTCATAATGATGGCCTGTCGGACTGTGCCATAGACAATCTCCTCTAAAAGGTCAAGCTTGGTGCAATGGCCTGAGAGACTGTGCCATAGACAATCTCCTCTAGAAGGTCAAGCTTGGTCCAATGGCCTGACAGACTGTGCCATAGACAATCTCCTCTAGAAGGTCAAGCTTGGTCCAATGGCCTGACAGACTGTGCCATAGACAATCTCCTCTAAAAGGTCAAGCTTGGTCCAATGGCCTGACAGACTGTGCCATAACAATCTCCCTCTAAAGGTCAAAGCTTGGTCCAATGGCCTGACACGACTGTGCCATAGACAATCTCCTCTAGAAGGTCAAGCTTGGTCCAATGGCCTGACAGACTGTGCCATAGACAATCTCCTCTAAAAGGTCAAGCTGCCATGGTCTAAAGGAATGGGCCAATGGCCTGACAGACTGTGCCATAGACAATCTCCTCTAGAGATGGTCAAGCTTGGTCCAATGGCCTGACAGACTGTGCCATAGACAATCTCCATAGAAAAGGTCAAGCTTGGTCCAATGGCCTGACAGACTGTGCCATAGACAATCTCCTCTAAAAGGTCAAGCTTGGTCCAATGGCCTGACAGACTGTGCCATAGACAATCTCCTCTAGAAGGTCAAGCTTGGTCCAATGGCCTGACAGACTGTGCCATAGACAATCTCCTCTAAAAGGTCAAGCTTGGTCCAATGGCCTGACAGACTGTGCCATAGACAATCTCCTCTAAAAGGTCAAGCTTGGTCAAATGGCCTGACAGACTGTGCCATAGACAATCTCCTCTAAAAGGTCAAGCTTGGTCCAATGGCCTGACAGACTGTGCCATAGACAATCTCCTCTAAAAGGTCAAGCTTGGTCCAATGGCCTGACAGACTGTGCCATAGACAATCTCCTCTAAAAGGTCAAGCTGATCCCACAGCAGATACTGAAGCTGGGATGTGAAGCATTAGGCCTCACACAATCTAGGCCACAACATGAGGTGGGGTGGCCATTTCCCTTCCTAGAGAACTCTCCTTAATCAAAATTAATACAAGAAACATTTTAAAAAGTCAATTCCCAATGAATGTGTATTTAAACAGTGATACGCCTGTAGAAATGTCATTAAGCTAAAGATGGTCAGTGTGGCTGTTGTTAAGGTCACTGGAAACCAAATTTGAATGCCAAAAGACTCTACCAGACAAACCACACAAAAACAAATTTAATAAAAGCTCATTTTTAAAGAGGTCTGCCTGCTTGCCAAAAATCTGCAGGAAAATTGTACAAAACAAAACCACACCAAAAAAATAATGTCAATTTACCATTGATCATAGACTTCTCCAGTTTATAGCCTTTCTTTTGTTTCCTATTTTAATTTTGCTCTTCTTTTCAATTTTTCATTTTTTTGTTTACCTGGATAGTACATCCATGTGAAACCCGGTAATGCTGATGCTTGGTATCCATCCACGGATGCCACATCTGTCCCATGTTTAATCTTCCACTATACCAACTGAGAATCAGCCACTATCATTTCTGCTGTCTATTGAATCTGTCATGGTTCTACTCTTTGCCTTCTGAACCTCTTACTATTCTACCCTTTATCCTGTCTTCTGAACCTCTTACTATTCTACCCTCTATCCTGTCTTCTGAACCTCTTACTATTCTACCCTCTATCCTGTCTTCTGAACCTCTTACTATTCTACCCTCTATCCTGTCTTCTGAACCTCTTACTATTCTACCCTCTATCCTGTCTTCTGAACCTCTTACTATTCTACCTCTATCCTGTCTTCTGAACCTCTTACTAGTCTACCCTCTATCCCTGTTCTTCTAACCTCTTACTATTCTACCCTCTATCCTGTCTTCTGAACCTCTTACTATTCTACCCTCTATCCTGCCTTCTGAACCTCTTACTATTCTACCCTCTATCCTGTCTTCTGAACCTCTTACTATTCTACCCTCTATCCTGTCTTCTGAGCCTCTTACTATTCTACTCTCTATCCTGTCATCTGAACTTGTCATATTTTTTTTTCCACTTTGTTTTGTCTTCTGAACTTCACAATTGTCTACTCTCCACTATGTTTTCTTAACTTTTTGTCACTTTTCTATTACATTCTTCTTCCTATCTTCTGAACATCTCTCTTTTTTTACTTTCCAAGTGCTTTGACTTCTCTACCCTCTATTTTGTCTGCTGTCTTCTGAACTCCTTACATCCCCCACCCCAATCGAACCTCACTGTAAAACTGAGACAGTATTATAACTGTTGTAGTATCACTTCTTGCATACTGTTGTGTTCAAAATAAAACAAAAGGCAGAATTTTGCCAGAAAACAACTATCCCACAGACGTAAAATTGCCAACATGTTGTACCTGTTGAAGCCATCAACCAATATTCTGCTTTTACAGGAAGATTTAGCTCTCCTATAAGCTGGCCTAGTGATTTAAATGTATAGATATGACATATATTTGTACGAATGTAACTTTTATACACGGCTTGCAATGTCAATGGGCTATCAGTGTCAAGTGACGTCTGCTGAAATTAATCAGATTCTGATTTGATGGTCAGTGACGATGAGTGGCTTTCACAAGATGCTGCGGGAAGAATAAAAACACAGGTTACATTATTTATAAAAGTTTTGCAGACAAACAAAAATGTAAATGTGAATTATCTATATCTCTCAGCCTAATGTCAGTGAATTATCTATACCTCTTAACTTAATGACAGTGAGTTGTCTATACCTCTCAGCTTAAAGTCATAGATTTATCCATATCTCTCAGTCTAATGTCAGTGAGTTATCTATATCCCTCAGCCTAATGTAACAAGGTTATCTATACGTCTCAGACTAAAGTCAAAGAATTATCTATACCTCTCAGCCTAATGTCACAAGGTTATCTATACCTCTCAGCCTAATGTCAGTGAGATGTCTATACCCCTCAGCCTAATGTCACAAGTTATCTATACCTCTCAGCCTAAAGTCACAAGTTATCTATACCCTCAGCCTAAAGTCAAAGAATTACCTATACCTCTCAGCCTAATGTCAGTGGGTTATCTATACCACTCAGCCTAATGTCATAAGGTTGTCTATACCTCTCGCCTAATGTCACAGTTATGTATACGTCTCAGCCTAAAGTCAAAGAATTATCTATACTTCTCAGCCTAATGTCAGTGAGTTGTCTATACCCCTCAGCCTAATGTCACAAGGTTGTCCCATACCTCTTAGCCTAATGTCAGTTACCCATACCTCTCAGCCTAATGTCAGTGAGTTACCTATACCTCTCAGCCTAATGTCAGTGAGTTGTCTATACCTCTCAGCCTAATGCCACAAGGTTGTCTATAGCTCTCAGCCTAATGTCAGTGAGTTGTCTATACCCCTCAGCCTAATGCCACAAGGTTGTCTATACCCCTCAGCCTAATGCCACAAGGTTGTCTATAGCTCTCAGCCTAATGTCAGTGAGTTGTCTATACCCCTCAGCCTAATGTCACAAGGTTGTCTATACCTCTCAGCCTAATGTCAGTGAGTTGTCTATACCCCTCAGCCTAATGCCACAAGGTTGTCTATACCTCTCAGCCTAATGTCAGTGAGTTGTCTATACCCCTCAGCCTGAAGCCACATGGTTGTCTATACCTCTCAGCCTAATGTCAGTGAGCTGTCTGTACCCATCAGCCTAATGTCACAGAGTTATCATATATCTCTCAACCTAAAGTCACAGCCTAGCTGTAAACCACAACACAATGTGCCAACTGCCAAAAGCAGAAGAACCTGGATCATGTGTATGAGAGCCCAGTGTTTCAGCCACTGGTTAACCAAGTGACTACATCTGTCGCAACTACATCATATATTTAAGCTTACTTACCTTCGGTCTCAGGGTCCTGCACACTGCTGTCTGACTCGTCTTTCTTCAACGTAAAAGAGGCAGACTCGGAGGGGTCGCTGAATTTCCTGCAATATCATGTAGAACAGACCGATTAGTCAGTTAAACAATTGATTACAGAAAGTGAAACAGTCTGGTCAGTGTACATGCACTCAACATCTGTCAGCAACAAGTGTTGTCAGTATACACAGGTTGAACTGATGTAGACGTGTACATTAGTGTATGTCAGCAACAAGTGTTGTACAGTACACAGGTTGAACTGATGTAGACGTGTAGATTAGTGTTTGTCAGCAACAAGTGTTGTACAGTACACAGGTTGAACTGATGTAGACATGTACATTAGTGTTTGTCAGCAACAAGTGTTGTACAGTACACAGGTTGAACTGATGTAGACCTGTACATTAGTGTTTGTCAGCAACAAGTGTTGTACAGTACACAGGTTGAACTGATGCAGACATGTACATTAGTGTCTGTCAGCAACAAGTGTTGTACAGTACACAGGTTGAACTGATGCAGACATGTACATTAGTGTCTGTCAGCAACAAGTGTTGTACAGTACACAGGTTGAACTGATGTAGACGTGTACATTAGTGTCTGTCAGCAACAAGTGTTGTACAGTACACAGGTTGAACTGATGTAGACGTGTACATTAGTGTCTGTCAGCAACAAGTGTTGTACAGTACACAGGTTGAACTGATGTAGACGTGTACATTAGTGTTTGTCAGCAACAAGTGTTGTACAGTACACAGGTTGAACTGATGCAGACGTGTACATTAGTGTCTGTCAGCAACAAGTGTTGTACAGTACACAGGTTAAACTGATGCAGACATGTACATTAGTGTCTGTCAGCAACAAGTGTTGTACAGTACACATGCTGAAGTAATGTAGACATATATAAGCTAATGACAAACTGTGTCTGTGGTTGTGTGTATGTGTCTGCGTGAGCATCAGAGCATGTGTGTCTGCAAGTGTGTGTGTGTGTGTTTGTGTGTCTCCGAATGTATCTGTGTGTTTGTGCATATGTGTCTGTGTGTGTGTATGCCGGTTTGTGTGTGTGTGTCGCGTGTATGTGTCTGTATGTATCTGCGTGTGTGATTGGGTATGTGCGCATATGTCTGTCTGTCTGTGTGTGTATGCATTTGTTTCTATGGGTGTGTCTGTGTGTGTATATCTGTAAGTTTGTATATGTGTGGAATGTGCATGTCTGTGTGGGTATGTAGGTATGTATGTGGGTGAATGGAGTGTGTTTATATGTGTGTGAAGGTATGTGGGTGTGTTTAAGTGAGAGTGGGTGGGTGTGTGTGCATGTATTTTACTACCCATGCTTTTGTGCTTTAATTTTTTTTTCTCTTTTGTGATATTCATATTATCATATGAATATAACATGCTTATTGATAAAATAAAGCTGCAGTGTGAAAGACGGGTGTTTGGAAGGGCCGAATGTAAGACGGGCCTGCGTGCCCAATTTGTGACCCTTTAAAATAAAGTTCGTTCGTCTGTGATGACACATTGTGTGTGTCACAGGACACATGTTCCGGACATGTATGTGACACATCAAGTAAATGACCTTTACTTATACCCTTTGGTGTGTTGGCTATATAGTGCTCCTATACCCTTTGGTGTGTTGGCTATATAGTGCTCCTATACCCTGTGGTGTATTGGCTATATAGTGCTCCTATACCCTGTGGTGTGTTGGCTATATAGTGCTCCTATACCCTTTGGTGTGTTGGCTATATAGTGCTCCTATACCCTTTGGTGTATTGGCTATATAGTGCTCCTATACCCTGTGGTGTATTGGCTATATAGTGCTCCTATACCCTTTGGTGTGTTGGCTATATAGTGCTCCTATACCCTTTGGTGTGTTGGCTATATAGTGCTCCTATACCCTTTGTGTGTATATAGTGGCTATATAGTGGCTCCTATACCCTTTGGTGTGTTGGCTATATAGTGCTCCTATACCCTTTGGTGTGTTGGCTATATAGTGCTCCTATACCCTTTGGTGTGTTGGCTATATAGTGCTCCTATACCCTTTGGTGTATTGGCTATATAGTGCTCCTATACCCTTTGGAGTATTGGCTATATAGTGCTCCTATACCCTTTGGTGTATTGGCTATATAGTGCTCCTATACCCTTTTGTGTGTTGGCTATAAAGTGCTCCTATACCCTGTGGTGTATTGGCTATATAGTGCTCCTATACCCTTTGGTGTATTGGCTATATAGTGCTCCTATACCCTTTGGTGTATTGGCTATATAGTGCTCCTATACCCTTTGGTGTATTGGCTATATAGTGCTCCTATACCCTTTGGTGTATTGGCTATATAGTGCTCCTATACCCTTTGGTGTATTGGCTATATAGTGCTCCTAATACCTTTGGTGTATTGGCTATAAAGAGCTAGATCTATCATTTATAATCAAATCAGCAGGTGGTGGGTGACGTGGTCACCATCCTATACTTCGCCTTGACATCGCAAGGTACCAGAGGAATGCGATGAAATGAGTGTTATTTCAACTCAAAAATTAGCGACTATCAAGTAGAACTTCTCAGGTAGGAGTGAATTTCATCACAGACTAATATGAAAGTACTAAACACAAATACAGTGAAGAAAGCTTAAGGCAATTTTGCATGTGGCAAATTTCTGTTGTAAAGAATAATGTGTTTATCCCCGGGCAATTTTTCTTGCTTGAATTATTATCTGGATAAGAGGAATTTCTAAAAAGAATATGAATAATCATTTCTGTGAGTTCACTTTATCAGGTCTGAACTATACTATTTATTTAATGAGGCTTCTTCTTAATGTATGGCTGACAGACATCACTGACTTACTTGCTCTTGTTTGGAAATTCAAAATCAGATTCGGCTTTGCGCTTGTCCCCGGGACGTAAATCCACATGTGGGCGTGTGGGCTCTTCCTGGATCTTCAACTGCTGGATCCTCCAGTCAATAGCCCGCAACAAATTTTCGGAATCCTTTGTGTTGGTCTGTAAACAAAAAAAAATGTATATATATACATAAAGGAAGGTTTACCACATTAGCCACCAAGTGCCAAGTGATCTATAAAACATAGGTCTAGCCCAACGTGCCTGGAGGTGTTGGCAAGGGTCTTTTACTTTATCTTTCAATGATCATTAATCACATTAATCATGTACAGAATATGTAGGACTGTCTGTTCTGCCTGGCTACACAGGCACAGGCATGAGTGACTAGACCAGAGGTTCTCAACCTTCCTAAAGCCGTGACCCTTTAATACTGTTACTCATGTTGTGACAACCCTTTAATACAGTTCCTCATGTTGTGGGGACCCTTTAATACAGTTACTCATGTTGTGGTGACCCTTTAATACAGTTCCTCATGTTGTGGGGACCCTTTAATACTGTTACTCATGTTGTGGTGACCCTTTAATACAGTTCCTCATGTTGTGATGACCCTTTAATACAGTTCCTCATGTTGTGGTGACCCTTTAATACAGTTCCTCATGTTGTGGTGACCCTTTAATACAGTTCCTCATGTTGTGGTAACCCTTTAATACAGTTACTTGTGTTGTGGTGACCCTTTAATACAGTTACTCATGTTGTGGTGACCCTTTAATACAGTTCCTCATGTTGTGGTGACCCTTTAATACAGTTACTCATGTTGTGGTGACCCTTTAATACAGTTCCTCATGTTGTGGTGACCCTTTAATACTGTTACTCGTGTTGTGGTGACCCTTTAATACTGTTACTCATGCTGTGGTGACCCTTTAATACAGTTACTCATGCTGTGGTGACCCTTTAATACTTACTCATGTTGTGGTGACCCTTTAATACTGTTACTCATGCTGTGGTGACCCTTTAATACAGTTCCTCATGTTGTGGTGACCCTTTAATACAGTTACTCATGTTGTGGTGACCCTTTAATACAGTTACTCATGTTGTGGTGACCCTTTAATACTTACTCATGTTGTGGTGACCCTTTAATACTGTTACTCATGTTGTGGTGACCCTTTAATACTGTTACTCATGTTGTGGTGACCCTTTAATACTGTTACTCATGTTGTGGTGACCCTTTAATACAGTTCCTCATGTTGTGGTGACCCTTTAATACAGCTCCTCATGTTGTGGTGACCCTTTAATACAGTTACTCATGTTGTGGTGACCCTTTAATACAGTTACTCATGTTGTGGTGACCCTTTAATACAGTTACTCATGTTGTGGTGACCCTTTAATACAGTTACTCATGTTGTGGTGACCCTTTAATACAGTTCCTCATGTTGTGGTGACCCTTTAATACAGTTACTCATGTTGTGGTGACCCTTTAATACAGTTTCATGTTGTGGTGACCCTTTGATTCAGTTCCTCATGTTGTGGTGACCCTTTAATACTGTTACTCATGTTGTGGTGACCTTTTAATACAGTTACTCATGTTGTGGTGACCCTTTAATACTGTTACTCATGTTGTGGTGACCCTTTAATACTGTTACTCATGTTGTGGTGACCTTTTAATACTGTTACTCATGTTGTGGTGACCCTTTAATACAGTTACTCATGTTGTGGTGACCCTTTAATACAGTTCCTCATGTTGTGGTGACCCTTTAATACAGTTACTCATGTTGTGGTGACCCTTTAATACAGTTACTCATGTTGTGGTGACCCTTTAATACAGTTACTCATGTTGTGGTGACCCTTTTACAGTACTCATGTTGTGGTCACTCATGTTGTGGTGACCCTTTAATACTGTTACTCATGTTGTGGTGACCTTTAATACATTACTCATGACCCTTTAATACTTACTACCATGTTGTGGTGACCCTTTAATACTGTTACTCATGTTGTGGTGACCCTTTAATACAGTTACTCATGTTGTGGTGACCCTTTAATACAGTTACTCATGTTGTGGTGACCTTTTAATACTTACTCATGTTGTGGTGACCCATTAATACTGTTACTCATGTTGTGATGACCCTTTAATACTGTTACTCATGTTGTGGTGACCCTTTAATACTGTTACTCATGTTGTGGTGACCTTTTAATACTGTTACTCATGTTGTGGTGACCCTTTAATACTTACTCATGTTGTGGGGACCCTTTAATACAGTTCCTCATGTTGTGGTGACCCTTTAATACTGTTACTCATGTTGTGGTGACCCTTTAATACTGTTACTCATGTTGTGGTGACCCTTTAATACTGTTACTCATGTTGTGGTGACCCTTTAATACTGTTACTCATGTTGTGGTTACCCTTTAATACTGTTACTCATGTTGTGGTGACCCTTTAATACTGTTACTCATGTTGTGGTGACCCTTTAATACTGTTACTCATGTTGTGGTGACCCTTTAATACTGTTACTCATGTTGTGGTGACCCTTTAATACAGTTCCTCATGTTGTGGTGACCCTTTAATAAACTTACTCATGTTGTGGTGACCCTTTAATACTGTTACTCATGTTGTGGTGACCCTTTAATACTGTTACTCATGTTGTGGTGACCCTTTAATACTGTTACTCATGTTGTGGTGACCCTTTAATACTGTTACTCATGTTGTGGTGACCCTTTAATACAGTTCCTCATGTTGTGGTGACCCTTTAATACTTACTCATGTTGTGGTGACCATTTAATATAGTTACTCATGTTGTGGTGACCCCCCAACCATACAATTCCTTTCACCACTACTTCATAACTTCAATCAACAGGTGTTTTCCGATGGTCTTAGGCGACCCTTGTGAAAGGGTCAGTTGACCCACAGGTGGAGAACTGCTGGACAAGACCAATGTCAGCCTATTTTTTTGCTAGTTTTCTCAAATGTTTTATTCTTTCACAGATTCTTCTGAAAACATGTCTGTTACTGTTGATTCTTCTTCTTTATTCTGTGAGGAGACTGCCTGCAGACAAACTTTGGCAAAAGATCATTTGTAAAGCCAGGAAGGCTAATCCAGGTAGCTAATGCCTGCAGATGCCAGATGTGTCGGCCATAAGGTGCAAATATCACCCCCATGTTGTAAAGGGGATAACCCACTTACCTCTCTGGATAAACGCAGAAAAAGATTTGTAAATATTGTATGTTAGTTGTAGATCACCAGAAAATGCAGAGACTTCTTTTTCACATGTCTCCTCTAGGATGACAATGACAAGTCAAGGCACCATGACAGACGTACGACATTGCAGTGTGAGGCATAAAAACATTCGAGGCCATGAAATATGAGGTGCAGCGGCCAGTTCCTTTCTCATCCTTGCCTTGTCTAAACACTCCCAGAAAATTATCTGAACTCTTTCTACAAGGCTAGAACAATTGCCATGTTCATGATTCTATTCAATTAACAATCAAACCCATTTGTTTTCATTGTAAAACAATTACTAATTCTAAAAGTAATAAACATTCAGTGTCACAGGATAAAGGCTAAGAAGGACAAGTCAAGCCATCTCACCATAATTAGGAAGATCTTTACAGTCTCGTCAGTATCCATAGCAGTGATTCTCACAGACTTTACAGACGCCCTCTCGATAGTCATGCCTGGCCAGATTTTTGTGTTGAGCACGACTCTTAAACTTCCCTGAGTGCGCATTACTGAAACAAAGTAGAAAAAAACCTCCAGGTAGTAAATTACTTTTTGCCATATTTCTCAAGTTTGCTGGTTGTCATTAAATATTCCAGTTTATTCTTGATCACCTGATCAAGCAATGATACACCCCATAGTGCTAGCAGTCTAGTCCTAAACTTGTTCTATCCTGCCCGATCACGATCAAGCATAGTGCTAGTAGTCTACACCCCTATCCTGCCATCAAGCGATGATACACCCCATAGTGCTAGCAGTCTAGTCCTCAACTTTGTTCTATCCTGCCACCGATCAAGCAATGATACACCCCATAGTGCTAGCAGTCTAGTCCTCCACTTTGTTCTATCCTGCCACCAATCAAGCAATCATATAGTGCTGGATACTAGTCCTCCACTTTGTTCTATCCTGAAACCAATCAAGCAATGATACACCATATAGTGCTGGTAGTCTAGTCCACCACTTTGTTCTATCCTGAAACCGATCAAGCAATGATACACCATATAGTGCTAGCAGTCTAGTCCTCCACTTGTTCTATCCTGCCACCGATCAAGCAATGAGTGCTACAGTCCTCCCCTATCCTGCCAGTCAAGCAATGATACACCCCATAGTGCTGGTAGTCTAGTCCTCCACTTTGTTCTATCCTGCCACCGATCAAGCAATGATACACCCCATAGTGCTGGTAGTCTAGTCCTCCACTTTGTTCTATCCTGCCACCGATCAAGCAATGATACAACCCATAGTGCTAGTAGTCTAGTCCTCCACTTTGTTCTATCCTGTGCAATAATCTCACTATCATGGATGGAATCCACTCCAGCACCTTTAGCCTCTCTCATCAACCTTTATCTGAACGTTTCTTTTAGACATCCTTGTTTCTTCTATCCATTTGTTTCCTATTTCAGTACCTGACAATTTCTCCTCAGGCTGTGCCCAACATTTTGCCATCTTCTTATCACCGTTGCTCAATGAAGTTGCCCAGACACTTACCTTATTTCCGTGCCTTTCTCCTTGCTTAAAAAGCCTAGACTATGTCAAGTTTAGGAGCCAACATGGTGTAGCGACTACACGATCGCCTGCAAATCCGAAGGTCATTGGGTTCAAATCTGTACAGTGTCGGAGCTTTTTCTTCTTCCATACATGACCTTCCCTCCCAGATCCACCCAGCCTTAAATGAATATAGGTAAAATCCTGGGAAGTAAAAGCGACAGACAGGAGTGATGCAGACCATATCACTCACTGAGGGCTGACTGGTCTAAAACAATATGGGCCCAGCCTCGTATGCCCAATGCACCTGAAGGTGTTAAAGAGCCCTTTACACGTATGTCTGGTGTGTGTTCCAACAGCTGCCTCAGGGCAGACAGAGGCTTCTGTGCCAGCTGCCATACTTCTAGCTGCTCCAGAATTCTCCTATATTTATGTATGCATATCTATGTATGAGATTCTATTTATGTGTATTTATGGATGTGTGAATGTATCGAATGACACGAATGTGTCAGTGTTTTGTAAGTATGAGTGTGTGCCTGAGTGTGTGTGTGCATGTGTGGGTAGCTGTTGTTGTTGTTATCGATCCAGCGGCGCATGAGCTTTCGCCCTTTGGCCCAATGCCATGTAGTGGAATTTGCATGTTTTCACAAGCTGTTCTTTTCCTCCGTACAAGGTGTTCCACTTGTCTGGTCTCGGAGGGAGTAGCGTTCTTCTTGTCTCACTGAGTTTTGGGCACTCAAAGAGATGGTGTTCAACAGTTTCGTAGGGGTAGTTACATAGCTGGCACTCTAGGGACCACTTTGTGGCTGTATTCTGTTTAGGTGTCCATTGAGTGGAGTATGTTGCGTTCTAAGTCTGAAGATGGTGGTCTGGTCCCTTCTTGTTAGATGATTAATGCTGTCATTAGGATCAGGGCCAGCCTACTTACTTACTTACTTAGTCGCTCCTCTTAGCCTCCTGCCACCGATCAAGCTACCCCCATAGTGCTGGGGTGTAGAGGTTTGCCAGAGAGATCGCCAGATGTCTCTATCAGCAGTTTACACCCCATTTCTGGCTTTGTTCCATTCCAGTCCTCTGTCAGTCAGGGACTGTCGGATGTTGTCTTCCCAGCGCACCCTGGGTCGTCCCAGAGGTCTGGTTCCCTGATTCTTAGCCTCCCATGCTTGCCATGGTGGCCGATTTTCTCCCATTCTGCATACATGTCCAAACCATCGTAACTGTGACTGATCTACTCGGGTTACTAAGGGCTGGGTATCAAGATCTTGACGTATTGTCTGATTGCAGACTTTGTCCCTTCTTGTCACTTGGACCACCTTTCTCAGGTATCTCATTTCCGAGGCCTGCAGCTGGCTTCTGTGGGCTGTTGTCATTGCCCATGACTCACACCCATAGGTCAGGACTGGTACATAGGTAGAGCGGTTAACAGCCATTTTCGTCCTCTTGCCAATTTCTCTTTTGCATCAGGGCCAGCCATGTGTCTATAGACCTTTCTTCCAGTGTCTCCCATGGCCCATCTGTTCAACCAAGTCTCTTTGTTTATAGCTCTTATAAGTGTTTTTGCTGTTTTTAGGGTTGTCGCTGTAGGTGGTTGTTCTTGTGTTGCTCATTTCTTTGCCAATCTGTACAGCTCGGAGCTTTTCCTGGTGTGCCAGAGTGGCCTGGAATCCAGCATCACTATTCTGATGTTGTATGAGGTAATAAGCTGATCAGCATCCAGGATTATCTTGGCTATGTCAGTTCGCAGCGTTCACTGCCCTCCAGAGCTTGAAAGGCAGACACTGAAACTGTGAAGATGACAGTATTTTGGGCCTTTGAAGGGTGAACATCTATTACAGTCTTTAGGTGGTATACTGCCGTTTCCAGTGCAATTATTTCGGGTACATAATTTGAACAGAATTCCCCGCATGCATAAAAAATCTCTTCAACAGATCCATCGGGGTAACCTATGTAGATTCCGTAACCTGCTTTAATGGTAGCTTTAAATGCAGATCCATCAGTATAAACATGTATCCATTCTTAGGGGTAAGGCATGTGTTGGTGTGTGTGTGTGTATATATATGTATGTATGTATGTACATGATGTATGTATGTATACCTGAACATATGCATTTGCCACCCATCCTTTTGGGTATTTTACTCGACTGTTATATAAGGTATATAGTTATTTGAGCATGAAATGCTCTGAAGATAAAATACAATCACGGTGTGAAAGATGAGTGTTTGGAAGCACTGAATGTACAACAGGCCTGCGTGCCAAATTTGTGACCTTTTGAAAATTAAGTTCATCTGTTTGTTCCTGACTCGCCCACAAGGCATCTTGAGCAGTCAGTCATCTGGCAAACAAAATGTGAACTGGATTTCACTTTCACAGAGCTTATCAAGGGGCGATGACTTATCCATTCTGTTTTGTGTCAACAAAGATTAGGTTAACTAGTTTGGTGTGCAAGTATCTTGTATTTAGTGAGAGTTTGTAAACAGTCACCCCAGTACTGCCCTCACTGCTGGGGTGGGGGGCCTGGGTAGAATACAAGAGGTTAGATGACATAATGCATAAGAATGTGTCAATGAAAAATTAGGTGTGGATCCGGCAAGGAGGGATGTATGAGAGGAAGAAAACAACATGCACATAATCAGTGTACCATGGGAACAGTTAGCATCAACACCTTACATTTGCTGTGACTCAAAAGCAGTGATGGGATGCCCGGTGTGCTATGTTGTTGATTTTTGATCAGTATCTTGTATCTGTTGAGCTTTGCGGTCACATTTTATGTTCATTTACTGACCTAGTCGAGATGTGAATGATCGGCTATCCTCTGACGACATGTCATTCAGCCTGATGACACCTCGACCTCTCTCGGCCCAGGACTGTGTGGTGGCATCAAACAGGAACAACTTGGCATTGGCCTGCAAACATCAAAGGAAACAATATCTTGCATTCATAAACATGACAACAATTCAAAAGAAACATACAATTATAGTATCTAGAGTTTCAAGAATATTGAGTGCATAATTTAAATCCTTCTCTCTGTGCGTCCTCCTGTCTCTTCAGGGAAAAGCACACTGCCTCCCTGTGGCTTCTCTAACTGGAGGCATCATTTGAAGTCGGAGTTCATCTGCCAAGGAACCAGAAGTCTGCACACAAACAAACCAGATCCGTGAAATGCATGTGCATGCAACACTCAGGTTCTGAAACAAGAAACAAATCAGAGAGGGACAAACCACCGAACTTTCAGCAGAGTTTACAGCTGGTGAATGCAAAGAAGATGAAGACATTCTTAGAGGTTAAGCTGAGGACAGAGATGCACAATCCAAAGCAGACTAAGAATGAGGTGGAAATGTTGCAACAACAACACTCAGGTGGCTATAGCTGAGGTGGCCAGAGGAGTGAGAACCATAACTTTGCATCTCCATTCACATATGAAGCTGTAATAGAGGAGGTGAACAAGGTGTAACACAGGAGGTGAACAAGCTGTAAGAGAGGAGGTGAACAAGCTGTGAGGGAGGAGGTGAACAAGCTGTAACAGAGGAGGTAAACAAGCTGTGAGGGAGGAGGTGAACAAGCTGTGAGAGAGGAGGTGAACAAGCTGTGAGGGAGGAGGTGAACAAGCTGTAACAGAGGAGGTAAACAAGCTGTGAGGGAGGAGGTGAACAAGCTGTCAGAGAGTTTACAAGCTTGGTGAACAAGCTGCAAAGAAGAGTGAACAAGCATGTCTTAGAAGTTAAGCCGAGGACAGAGATGCACAATCTAAAGCAGACTAAGAACGAGGTGGAAATGTTGCAACAACAACACTGTACAACAGTTTCAGGTGGCTATAGCTGAGGTGGCCAGAGGAGTGAGAACCAGAACTTTGCATCTCCATTCACAGATGAAGCTGTGAGAGAGGAGGTGAACAAGCTGTAATAGAGGAGGTGAACAAGCTGTAATAGAGGAAGTGAACAAGCTGTAATAGAGGAGGTAATAGAGGAGGTGAACAAGCTGTAATAAAGGAGGTGAACAAGCTGTGAGAGAGGAGGTGAACAAGCTGTGAGAGAGGTGAACAAGCTGTGAGGGAGGAGGTGAACAAGCTGTGAGGGAGGAGGTGAACAAGCTGTGAGAGAGGAGGTGAACAAGCTGTAAGAGAAGAGGTGAACAAGCTGTAATAGAGGAGGTCAACAAGCTGTGACAGAGGAGGTGAACAAGCTGTAAGAGAGGAGGTGAAGAAGCTGTAAGAGAGGAGGTCAACAAGCTGTAAGAGAGGAGGTCAACAAGCTGTAATAGAGGAGGTCAACAAGCTGTAAGAGAGGAGGTCAACAAGCTGTAATAGAGGAGGTCAACAAGCTGTAAGAGAGGAGGTCAACAAGCTGTAAGAGAGGAGGTCAACAAGCTGTAATAGAGGAGGTCAACAAGCTGTAATAGAGGAGGTCAACAAGCTGTAAGAGAGGAGGTCAACAAGCTGTAAGAGAGGAGGTCAACAAGCTGTAAGAGAGGAGGTCAACAAGCTGTAATAGAGGAGGTCAACAAGCTGTAAGAGAGGAGGTCAACAAGCTGTAAGAGAGGAGGTCAACAAGCTGTAAGAGAGGAGGTCAACAAGCTGTAAGAGAGGAGGTCAACAATCTGAGGTTCAATGACAGTGAACCATGAAAAAGAGCCATGAGATTAGTTGTACCCTAACATGAAGACAAATTACAGGGCGCTGCGCTAACAAGCTTTCATCAATGTACTGACACAGAGACGACACTACTAATATCTTCTTCTTCAGGCTCACTGTCTGTAAACTCTGAGAGAAAGTTCAGGATGTTCGTCCACTTCTGCACTTTGGTCTTGATCCAGAACTTGAGTTTTGTGTGCACATCCGTTCCACAGATCTGGCTTCATTTGGATGCAGACTATCTGTTCTTTGCTTCTCAGGCAGGTGAACTCCAACTCTAAAGAAAACACCCATCACTGGTTGCTTTCTACAATACATTTGTTAGGGGAGTTGGTCTATTCTTGGTTCCCAAAATGGGGCTGCGGAGCAATCAGTGTGTGATGTGGCCTTTTAAATGTAGTCTAGGCATTTATTCATCTGTCAGTTTTAAGGCTGCCACCCCCAATGTCCCGATACCTTTGTGTCTCTTTAAAACAGTGGTCAACTTACCTGCAAGACATTTGATTCTTCCTCCTCTCCGGTGACTCTCTTCACCTCTTTGAGTTCTGTTTTGTTCTCGTGTTTAGCCTGATACTCTCTGGCAGATTCTTCCAAAGTTCGATTCAATTTGCCTGAAATGAGAATGCAGTCATTTCACACGAGGTCATCGGCAGAGCTGGGGTGAGAAAACCTATATATCAGTTCATGTATCTTTTCCAGAAGTCAAAACTCTCATTAAGAGAAAATCAGAAACAGATTGGAAAACCAACACTGGTTTTAACTACGAAAAAGATTTTCTGAAACACTTGAACAGAACAGACCAAGTCACAGTTTTTCGCTTACGCACTGGACACTGCAGACTCAATAAACATCATAAATTAGGTATGAGCAAACGGCTCTCTGCCTTCGTGCTGAACAGACTCCAGAACATGTCCTGCAAGACTGTCCTCTCCTGGCGGAGCTGCGGAGTGACATATGGCAACACCCAGTAGAACTGACAACTAAGCTTTGGGGAAACCTAAGAGACCTTGAAAAGACATCCCAGTTTATGACCCACAGTGGATTATGCGCATGACCAGAGATCGCTGCAGAAGAAGAAGTTCATGTATTAACACCCCTTTATGCCACAACACAAGTTTGTCAAGAATCTTCTGGTGCTGTCTTCCTCCCGTCTTTTCAACAGATCTTTCTAGTGGTCACATGTCCCAGGTTTTCTCTCATAACATGACCAAAGAATTACTGATGTTTGTGATAAGTTGCCTTCGAGCCCTTGTCACATCTCCAAGTGAAAATGTCAAAGTGCGTCTGACTGATCAGGGTACACGTCAACCACACACTTTCCTAGGGTATTTATTGCAGGTTAACTAATATCAGGCACATCTTCTGATTTTGGAGGGGAAACAGCAGATACCTTTTTTCATACTGCTTAGCACAAGGCAGACAGCTACAGCCTGGAGCATAGCAGCGAAAGGGTTAAAATGGTGGTAGCCCACTTTTGCCCATGCAATTTTCTGACCATCAGTTTAAACGGCGTAAAGCAATAAAGCAAAAAACCCAACTGCTTGAATTCACAAGAAATTCTCCTTTTGTTATCTGCGTCCGCAAAGTTCAAGGATTGGTGAAAAAAGTTCCAGGTTTTTCATTTGTTTTTTTATAAAAATCTTGAATTTTCAAGACCTAAAAAGGGATCTAGCATTTTCCAACTTTTTTCCCAGGCCCGCTACAAAACCTGACCTGTATATCTTTCATTAAACGTTTCATATATCTATGTATCTTTCATTAACCCTTCACATATCTATATATCTTTCATTACCCCTTTATATATCTATATCATTCACACTTGAAAATATTCAAATGTAGATATTTAAATTCTTTAAACATTTATTCGTAACTGTAAAATGGATATTTTAAAGGACTTTTTGCAGGAATTCCCACTGGTTTAACTTATTTTTTTTTTTTCAAGGTTAAGCTTACAAGAATAAGAGGGAAAATGACAACAGACTCCAGCCCTAAGGTCCACAAGGATAAATCAAGAATATAAACAAGAAAAAAAAAAAACGAAACAAGCTGCACCCATTTTCACTGGAAACAGGCAGCAGCTAGCAACACAGATTTTTTAGGTTACCTGAGTCTGAGTCACTGTCATCTTTGTGGGACGATTCACTAGATCCATTTGCTTCCGCCACGGCTCTTGTAGCCAAGGATTCACCAAACACAAAGCCAGATGGTGCTGAGGCTTCAGCCAGGTTTTCACTCGGAGACGTCACCCCCTGTCAGAGGCAAACATAGATTTTGTTTATTTTACGGAAGGCAGGACTTTGTAAATGTTTTTCCTTGTCAAGATCATCAAGTGGCACACCTCTACAAGAATTGGTCCTGTGATCTAGAGAGCTGTGACCTTTGATCACCTTCCATGCCGCTCTGTCAATCCTTCCAGCATTTTCTCTCTCAGATTATCACTATTTCTAATACCCTTGTACTTCCAGCAGTTACAACCTTCTTCTGATTCGTCCTAGTGTTACTTCTTCTCATGCTGCCTGCCTCTCATCCCCCTAATGGAGAACAGACCCTTAACCAAATAATGCTGGCTGAAACTAGTGTAACATGCTAGCATTGGCTGCTTTAAAGAACCAGTCACATAACCATTTAACACCTCGGGTGCATCAAGCATACAGAGCTTGATCTATATATTTATGGATCAACTGACACTCAATGTGTGATGTGTAAAGCCATCTTTACTTCCCAGGAAACTACCTTGTACCCATTTTAGCCTGGGTCACCCTAGGAGCCAAGCCGAGGTCAGTTTTGTAAAGAAAAATCTGCTTCAATGCAGAATTAACCTTAAGACCCTCAGGAAAGTGGGCGAGGATCTAGTCATGACACTACTGCGCTTCTCAGCTTTGGTTACTCTTGAGAGAACAAAATTCAGACCTTTTTGAGGGGATTTTTTCTTGAATTCCCAGATAGAGGCTTTTTTCTCCAAAGGGTTTGCAGGACAAAAAGGTTAAACAGTCCTTGAAAATACAACTGCACAACTTTGCAAAGTGTGACAGGTAACTGTGTGGAACTTACCGTAACTCTCTGTGACAGATTCTTCCCAAAGACAAAATCAGACTGTGAACTGCTGGACACGCCAGATGAGTCTTTCAACCTGGTGAGTTGAGGCAAAGGCAAAAGACATTCAAAGTTGTGATCTTTCAACCTGGCGAGTTGAGGCAAAGGCAAAAGACATTCAAAGTTGTGATCTTTCAACCTGGCGAGTTGAGGCAAAGGCAAAAGACATTCAAAGTTGTGATCTTTCAACCTGGTGAGTTGAGGCAAAGGCAAAAGACATTCAAAGTTGTGATCTTTCAACTTGGCGAGTTGAGGCAAAGGCAAAAGACATTCAAAGTTGCGATCTTTCAACCTGGTGAGTTGAGGCAAAGGCAAAAGACATTCAAAGTTGTGATCTTTCATCCCAGTCAATTAAAAAAAATGACACTCAAAGTTTTGATCTTTCAACCTAGCTATAACAACTGTAGAAAAACTATCCCTGATGATGATAGTAGAGAAGTAAATCCTTGATATGTGTGCATCTGTTTCTGGTTTGGGTTTGCCAAAAAAGATGTCCACTTCTTGGATACAGTAGTAGTTTTTTAGGACATACAATTTGATGATGACAGAGACAAGTCTAGTTTCAGCTGTTTGTCTTGTCTCAATTTCCATATTTCTTTTGTGTCCCATTTGTAATCTTTGAAGAAGAAAAAACCTTGGATTTTAATAATGAGTATCCTTTTTCATGTGATTATGGTATATTTTTCTCTTTACAGTGAAGAATCTTTATAAAAGTGAAAGAAGGTTTATAAAAGGAAAAGGAAGTTTATAAAAGTGAAAGCTTTCTAACAATTCACATTACAGGGACAGTATCAGCTATGGGACCACATTTACTTTTATCTGAACTGTTCAACAATTCACATCACAGGGCCAGTCTCAGCTATGGGACCACATTTACTTTTATATTAACTGTTCTTTGAACTGAACTCATGAAGGCAGCTGATTACTCACATCAGAAGGAAACAATCTACATTCTTTGGCCACAAGCTGAGGGAAAAGTAAGTTGGAAAAATAGCAGAGGAGAAAAGTTAGTGAGGAATGTAGCAGAGGAGAAATGTTAAGTGAGGAATGTAGCAGAGGAGAACAGTTAGTGAGAAATGTAGCAGAGGAGAACAGTTAGTGAGGAATGTAGCAGAGGAGAAAAGTTAGTGAGGAATGTAGCAGAGGAGAACAGTTAGTGAGGAATGTAGCAGAGGAGAAAAGTTAGTGAGAAATGTAGCAGAGGAGAAAAGTTAGTGAGAAATGTAGCAGAGGAGAACAGTTAGTGAGGAATGTAGCAGAGGAGAAACGTTAGTGAGGAATGTAGCAGAGGAGAACAGTTAGTGAGAAATGTAGCAGAGGAGAACAGTTAATGAGGAATGTAGCAGAGGAGAACAGTTAGTGAGGAATGTAGCAGAGGAGAACAGTTAGTGAGGAATGTAGCAGAGGAGAACAGTTAGTGAGAAATGTAGCAGAGGAGAAAAGTTAAGTGAGGAATGTAGCAGAGGAGAAAAGTTAGTGAGGAATGTAGCAGAGGAGAAAAGTTAGTGAGGAATGTAGCAGAGGAGAAAAGTTAAGTGAGGAATGTAGCAGAGGAGAACAGTTAGTGAGGAATGTAGCAGAGGAGAACAGTTAGTGAGGAATGTAGCAGAGGAGAAAAGTTAGTGAGGAATATAGCAAAGGAGCAAAGTTAGTGAGGAATGTAGCAGAGGAGAACAGTTAGTGAGGAATGTAGCAGAGGAGAACAGTTAGTGAGGAATGTAGCAGAGAAGAAAAGTTAATGAGGAATGTAGCAGAGGAGAACAGTTAGTGAGGAATGTAGCAGAGGAGAACAGTTAGTGAGAAATGTAGCAGAGGAGAACAGTTAGTGAGGAATGTAGCAGAGGAGAACAGTTAGTGAGGAATGTAGCAGAGGAGAACAGTTAGTGAGGAATGTAGCAGAGGAGAAAAGTTAGGAATGTAGCAGAGGAGAACAGTTAGGAATGTAGCAGAGGAGAACAGTTAGGAATGTAGCAGAGGAGAACAGTTAGTGAGGAATGTAGCAGAGGAGAACAGTTAGGAATGTAGCAGAGGAGAACAGTTAGTGAGGAATGTAGCAGAGGAGAACAGTTAGGAATGTAGCAGAGGAGAACAGTTAGTAAGGAATGTAGCAGAGGAGAAAAGTTAGGAATGTAGCAGAGGAGAACAGTTAGGAATGTAGCAGAGGAGAACAGTTAGGAATGTAGCAAAGGAGAACAGTTAGTGAGGAATGTAGCAGAGGAGAACAGTTAGTGAGGAATGTAGCAGAGGAGAACAGTTAGTGAGGAATGTAGCAGAGGAGAACAGTTAGTGAGGAATGTAGCAGAGGAGAACAGTTAGTGAGGAATGTAGCAGAGGAGAACAGTTAGTGAGGAATGTAGCAGAGGAGAAAAGTGAGGAATGTAGCAGAGGAGAACAGTTAGTGAGGAATGTAGCAGAGGAGAACAGTTAGTGAGGAATGTAGCAGAGGAGAACAGTTAGTGAGGAATGTAGCAGAGGAGAAAAGTTAGGAATGTAGCAGAGGAGAAAAGTTAGGAATGTAGCAGAGGAGAAAAGTTAGTGAGGAGTGTAGCAGAGGAGAACAGTTAGTGAGGAATGTAGCAGAGGAGAACAGTTAGTGAGGAATGTAGCAGAGGAGAACAGTTAGTGAGGAATGTAGCAGAGGAGAAAAGTGAGGAATGTAGCAGAGGAGAACAGTTAGTGAGGAATGTAGCAGAGGAGAACAGTTAGTGAGGAATGTAGAAGAGGAAAACAGTTAGTGAGGAATGTAGCAGAGGAGAAAAGTTAGGAATGTAGCAGAGGAGAAAAGTTAGGAATGTAGCAGAGGAGAAAAGTTAGTGAGGAATGTAGCAGAGGAGAACAGTTAGTGAGGAATGTAGCAGAGGAGAACAGTTAAGTGAGAAATGTAGCAGAGGAGAACAGTTAGTGAGGAATGTAGCAAAGGAGAACAGTTAGTGAGGAATGTAGCAGAGGAGAACAGTTAGTGAGGAATGTAGCAGAGGAGAAAAGTTAGTGAGGAATGTAGCAGAGGATAACAGTTAGTGAGGACTGTAGCAGAGGAGAAACGTTAGTGAGGAATGTAGCAGAGGAGAAACGTTAGTGAGGAATGTAGCAGAGGAGAAAAGTTAAGTGAGGAATGTAGCAGAGGAGAACAGTTAGTGAGGAATGTAGCAGAGGAGAACAGTTAGTGAGGAATGTAGCAGAGGAGAAAAGTTAAGTGAGGAATGTAGCAGAGGAGAAAAGTTAGTAAGAAATGTAGCAGAGGAGAACAGTTAGTGAGGAATGTAGCAGAGGAGAAAAGTTAAGTGAGGAATGTAGCAGAGGAGAACAGTTAGTGAGAAATGTAGCAGAGGAGAAAAGTTAAGTGAGGAATGTAGCAGAGGAGAACAGTTAGTGAGGAATGTAGCAGAGGAGAACAGTTAGTGAGGAATGTAGCAGAGGAGAACAGTTAGTGAGGAATGTAGCAGAGGAGAACAGTTAAGTGAGGAATGTAGCAGAGGAGAACAGTTAGTGAGAAATGTAGCAGAGGAGAAAAGTTAAGTGAGGAATGTAGCAGAGGAGAACAGTTAGTGAGGAATGTAGCAGAGGAGAAAAGTTAGGAATGTAGCAGAGGAGAACAGTTAGTGAGGAATGTAGCAGAGGAGAACAGTTCGTGAGGAATGTAGCAGAGGAGAACAGTTAGTGAGGAATGTAGCAGAGGAGAACAGTAAGTGAGAAATGTAGCAGAGGAGAACAGTTAGTGAGGAATGTAGCAGAGGAGAACAGTTAGTGAGGAATGTAGCAGAGGAGAACAGTAAGTGAGGAATGTAGCAGAGGAAAACGGTTAGTGAGGAATGTAGCAGAGGAGAACAGTTAGTGAGGAATGTAGCAGAGGAGAACAGTTAGTGAGGAATGTAGCAGAGGAGAACAGTTAGTGAGGAATGTAGCAGAGGAGAACAGTTAGTGAGGAATGTAGCAGAGGAGAACAGTTAGTGAGAAATGTAGCAGAGGAGAACAGTTAGTGAGGAATGTAGCAGAGGAGCAAAGTTAGTGAGGAATGTAGCAGAGAACATTTAGTGAGGAATGTAGCAGAGGAGAACAGTTAGTAAGGAATGTAGCAGAGGAGAACAGTTAGTGAGAAATGTAGCAGAGGAGAACAGTTAGTAAGGAATGTAGCAGAGGAGAACAGTTAGTGAGAAATGTAGCAGAGGAGAACAGTTAGTGAGAAATGTAGCAGAGGAGAACAGTTAGTGAGAAATGTAGCAGAGGAGAACAGTTAGCGAGAAATGTAGCAGAGGAGAAAAGTTAGTGAGGAATGTAGCAGAGGAGAACAGTTAGTGAGGAAAGTAGCAGAGGAGAACAGTTAGTGAGGAATGTAGCAGAGGGAGACAGAGAGAAGATGCTGAACAGTCTGACATCATGGTACTGGTGATCATCTGTATCAGAAGTGGCAGACAGTCTCCAGATATCATGGACCAGAAGAAGATGAACTGTTCACCTAAAGAACTATATACTTCAACACAATACCTGTTATTTTTACTAATATCAGCGACTATATCATGGTTGTATGAAGAAGCTTCTGCAGCAGTGGCTCCTTCTGCATCTGTTCCATGAGGTGAGGCAACCGAGGAGGCCGAGGAAGACGAGGAAACTTCACTGCCTCCGGCACCACCTTCTGCTCCTTCCAATCTCTCACTGGCTGTGGAAGCTTCGGAAGCTCTTTCTTGTGCTGAAGAATCACTATCACCAGCTGAGTCCGCTGTGTGCAACATTGCAAGAAATCAAATCAAACATGTCACTACACTCAAGATAATGAGCTAATGAACAGAATGAGAGCCGTGGTAGCAGCAGCTAGACGCTTGCCTTCCAGTTTGAATGTCTAGGGTTCTTCTTCTTCAATATTCACTGGCTGTAAACTCCAGTGGAAAGTTATGGGTGTTTGTTTACCTCCAGACTTTAGTCCTGTTCCAGAACCTGACTGTTGCATGCACATCTGTTTTACATATCTGGCTTATTTGTATGCAGACTCTTGGTTCCTTGCTTCTCAACAGATGTACTCCGACTTCGAAGTAAGCCCTGTCTAGCTGACTCTTACAACGTGCTTGTTGGGAAGATAGTAGGTCCGTTTTTGTTTTTCCCTCAATAGGGCCCTGGAACCCACACGGGGAGTCTAGGGTTCAATTCTTTAGCCTTGCATGCACACCTTTCATAGATCTGGCTCATGCAGACAGTTGGTTACTCCCCTCTCAGGCAGATGCAATCCAACCTGAAGAGAATTCCTCTAGGTAGTCTCTTGTTTATGAGGGGTCAGTGGCTCCCCCCCCCTTGGAGCCCCAGAACCCACATGTGACCTTTTAACAAAGGTAAAGTAAATGTCAAGGTCAGGTCCTGCTGTACATGGAAAAATAGCATGGTTTTTACAAGGCAAAGAAAGAAGAGGCTATGCTGAAGGACACTTAGGAATGATGGACAGGTGGCTGATAGGAGAACATCTTAAAGAAGTTATAAAACTGTGCCGAATATTAAGGCTGCATGGTTGTAGAGACTCCATTAGAAAAATCTAACAGTTTTCCAATAGTGTGATCTTCTTCACTGCACTCAATTTATACACAAACAAAACTTGCTAGTCCCATGCACATCATGAAAGAACTAAGGCCTCTGAAAAAAAAATTAACGTCACAACTGTGAGTAAATGACAATTGGTAGGTATTAAACAAGTGATCAAGAGACCAGAAACGCTGCCTAACTCATCGAGGAGCATTCTTTCCTCAGTAAGGCTTGGAGAAGTGGGTCATTGACAGTTTGTAAATTAGTGAAAACTTTTTTGGAAGCTGTGGAGATGTGGTTTTATAGATGAATGTTGAGAATACCCTTGACAGATCAAAAGAGAAATGAAGACATCTTGAAAGAAACTAACTCATGGAGAGAACTGAAGACCCACATCAGGAAGAGACAATCTACTTTCTTTGGTCATGGGATGAGAAGGATAAAACAAGTACATCTTGACAGTAGGAAAGTTGGAGGGGAGGACAGGCAGAAGAAGACCGAGTGAAAAGATGCTGGACAGTGTGTCATCATGGCAGAGGTAACTGAAAGTACACAAGACAGAAGGTTGTGGACAGACATGACTACCAAAGCCACACTGCATTGACTTCAAGAAGAAGAGGGCTTAGGGCTTTTAATTAATTACTACTCTGTACACAACATGGTTATTGTCTACAAACTCCTAGCATACACAGGCAATGTTATAATGACATAATGACAACAAACTTGGAGTTTAACCCAACCAAGGATATTTTCCCCCACTAGGCAGCATGTCTTACCTTTTACCTCCGCTGATTTAGTTGGATCTGGAAGTTTTGCTGGTTTTAAAATTGGCGCTGCAATAATATATATACAAGTCTCTTAGATACAGGCAGTCATGATCAATATATATACATTTTTTTTTAATGAAATAATACTGACAAGGTTTGGAACTATGTAAAAGGATACTAGAGTCAGCTGGAATTCCAGATGCTGTATGACTGAGGACTCAGTTATAGCACACAAATTCTTCTTCTTCTTCTTTCATCTGAAGATGTAAACGGGTTCAAGCCCTCAAGAGAAGGCAGGAGAAGATCATGAGCATTCCCCATAGTAAATGGCATTTGCCATCCAAGAAATCTTCCATAACTGCAGAGCCAATACATGGTGATCTGGTAAAAGGTTCATCCTGCTCATGGCTATTTTAACCTCACCTCCGTATCCTGAGCATCTCATTCATCACGGGCTATGTCTTTAGAAGCCAGCAGTAGCACAGAAATCATAACCTAGAAAGAATCTATTTGTACTTGTTGGTGTTCACTAACAGATCGATCACTCAGACCGCACACTCAACCACTGAGATGTCAGTGATGCGATTCCTTCCTCAGTACAATATATTTCTTAGCTTGTTGTGACACAGGATGATGGTTAAAGGTGTACACAAATGAGACTGAGTACATATCACATGAAATTGTAAAAAAAAAAAAAAAACTGCTTCTCCTGCTAGCCTCAGTAGTCAAAATTATTCATGATAATCTGACTGGAATAGGTGATCATGTTTCTCCACAACCTACAATCTCCAACAGCATGTTACTGACACACTGTCATGCTGTGACAAAAAACTGTCAACAATCTTGATGCTGTTTTCTTCTTTCTCTCTTCCCATAGATGAAATAGCCATTTGTCTTCTGCATTCGCCTTTGAAAGGGTGCTTGGCACACTATGGTGTGGTTTACAGCTAGGCTACAGTATACCTTTCCTTCCAGCACATTCAATTTCAGCTAATCCCTCTTTTTTTTTTTTTTAGGTGGTGTCTTTATTCTTTTCTTTCTTTCTCTTCTCTACCCGTGGAACATCTCGCAGCGCTAGGGCAGGAAGAGAACTCTGGAACGGGCCTTTCTGTCTGCTCTGTTAGGGTACTTTTCAGTGTCTCCGATATTTCTGTGGTCCATATTCCCTGTGGTTGACCTCTGGGTCTGTTACTGTTGTATCTGTATAACACTGCTCTCTGTGGTGCCCTGTCTGTGACCAATCTTGTTTCATGGCCAAACCATCTGATCTCTTGTCTACCGACGAAGTTCAGTACTGCAGTTTCTGTGCCGACTCTCTTCCCGATATCACCAATCCTAACTCAATATTTTCTTCTTATACCTAGCATAATGTGTGAATATTTATATTCTTTTCATCCTCAAAATGGGATCCCAAAGAAACCCAAGCCAGCAGAAAAATCCATTCAAAATTATTTGTTTATGCCTGTAATAAAAAAATAAAAATAAAAATACCTACTTACTAACATCATCAAGTGCCTTGAACTGGAATAGCAAACTTAGTCAGAACTAAAATAGCAGCAGCTGCTGCTTAAACACTGCAGCCAGTAATCTCAATAGATGTGTTAGGGCAGACAAACTTAAACACTGCAGCCAGTAATCTCAATAGATGTGTTAGGGCAGACAAACTTAAACACTGCAGCCAGTAATCTCAATAGATGTGTTAGGGCAGACAAACTTAAACACTGCAGCCAGTAATCTCAATAGATGTGTTAGGGCAGACAAACTTAAACACTGCAGCCAGTAATCTCAATAGATGTGTTAGGGCAGACAAACTTAAACACTGCAGCCAGTAATCTCAATAGATGTGTTAGGGCAGACAAACTTAAACACTGCAGCCAGTAATCTCAATAGATGTGTTAGGGCAGACAAACTTAAACACTGCAGCCAGTAATCTCAATAGATGTGTTAGGGGCAGACAAACTTAAAAACACTGCAGCCAGTAATCTCAATAGATGTGTTAGGGCAGACAAACTTAAACACTGCAGCCAGTAATCTCAATAGATGTGTTAGGGCAGACAAACTTAAACACTGCAGCCAGTAATCTCAATAGATGTGTTAGGGCAGACAAACTTAAACACTGCAGCCAGTAATCTCAATAGATGTGTTAGGGCAGACAAACAAGTTGTCAATGAAACATACATTGTTATTAACACCTGTGAAATGAGATGCCTGAGAAAAGCCACCAACTTAACCATCCAAGACAAAAGTTAGAAATGAGATTATCAGACAGACTGTAGGAACAACACCAGGCAGCAAATTCACTGAGATGCAGAAGATCAAAGGATCTGGTCATCTAGTAAAAATGCAGCCAGAACAACTACCAATACAGGCGCTACACATGACAAGATCAGATGTGAAAGCAAGAGGCCGCCCTTGGAGGATATGGACTGATGGCATTAAGAGCTCCTACATCAATAAGGAATGACAATAGCCATTGGTACTCATCAAGCAATAGATCACTGTTCTTCCCCAGGACGGCAGAAGTAGAAATTGATGATGATGACTGTTCACTGACCTGAGAACAAAGAGGGCCTGATGTGAAACGAGTTTCCTGAGCTGGTGATTGAACTGAGTGTCTCCTGCCGTAAGGAGCCCAAACCTCCAAAGCCATGACTTGTTGCTGGAAATAATACATTACAAGTTTTAGGTGCAGATGGGTGTGGGTAATCTATCATTTCTGTCAAACTTTCCATCAATCCAATCATACACTACTATCATTCCACCTATAATTTCCATTCATCAGCTCAGAAGCCTGGATAAAACCACGAATTCCAGGAAATAGGATGGTAAACATAAAGAATCCTTGGAGTGGTTTGGCTAGGGTTAAAACAGTAAACCCCACTCTTGATTTGATGTACAACTGGTTGCCAAAGAAAGCATGTCTGAGAACTTGATGAGCGCGTGAGAGTCGCTGGTACTGAACATTAACCTCTCACAGTATTCTTTGTAACAAGCTAGAATAATTGTATTCTTCTAGATCAGGCATGTCAAACTGGTGGCCGCATTGCAGCCCTTTGCATGTACACCAGAGGCCAGCAAAAAGGAAACATTCGGCAATGTTTATTAAATGACTCCAATTAGTTATTGTGTGTGGCCCTCATAAAGACAAAATATGACCATATGGCCTTCAGGGGATCCTTAGATCGACAGTGCCTATCCTAGACAACCCTTAGCTAAGAGTTAGAACACAAGTGACAGAAAGAATATAGTAAAAATCTACATATTTAATTCCCTGTCCATTCATTTATCTAGATATGCTCCCTCCTTCACTCACTCTCACTCATGTCTGCACGCACGCACACAAATATAGACGTAAGCAAGTAAAGGCAGGAGAGGAAAGGAAAAAGAATGTTTGCCACTTGAAGTGAGCAGACCCCTCAAATGATTTCATGCTATCATGGACACATTGGGCTGTTGCAGCAACTACAAAGACCAACCATCAGGGGCAATTTGGTAGTCACATCTGTTTCCCATCTCTTGTGTTCTCTCCCTCTTTCTCTCACACACAGGTACATGCAGAGCAACAGACAGGCAGGGAACATAATGTACATGTAACTTCTTTGGTCACAAACTGAACCGAAAGACTACTGTCAGTGTTTGTTTATTTTGGGATTACCATATGCCTTGAAAGTTACGACAAGAAAGAAAGAAAGAAAGAAAAAAAAGAGAGAGAGAGAGAGAGATGGAGAGGGAGGGAGGGGGGGGAGAGAGAGAGAGAGAGAGAGAGAGAGAGACAGAGAAAGAGAGAGTCAGAGACAGAGAGAGAGAGAGGGAGAGAGAGAAACTGTAAACTGCCAGTTTTAAAGTCAAGCCAACTGAAACAACTGACCTCCTCCTAGTTTTGGTGCAGACAACAGTGACGGTCGGAGGTAGGAGGATGGTCTCTCTTCTCCTGTTCAATGAATAAACATGCAATTTAACAACAGTGTTCACATGATATATCAAAATCAAATATATAAGAGAATCATATTTTACTAAATTATAATCCGCTGTACTAAAAAAAATTTTTTTTAAGACTCAACAATGGTTTTCTGTTACATCCTGTCATGACTTTCAGCCAGTTTACAGCCAATGAATGATAAAAATAAGAAGAAAAACAACCACTCTTATCAAAGGAACTCGTCTGTTGGTGTAAATCAGAGAGTAATTACAAGAAGAAACAGAAGAAGAAGACGACGATAAAGAAGAATGAGTGTTAGTTCATGTTTTGGAAGACAGATTAATTGCAATTTTGTGCTTGACTATAAAATGGCATTTTTTTCCCCTAAATATCATAAAAATAGATTGGGTTTGTTATTTCTTGGTCATCAGGGTGAAAGGGTTAACACAAAGGAAACGAGCTCTTACCTGCATCTCTGTTTACTGCAGCCCCCAGTCGACTTGGAGCTATGATGTCTGAAATAATAGAGATGTGTTTAATAATTTTAAATCTCCTGCTGGGGATTAGCAGAATATCTGTCCACCCTGCACCTCTGTGACCTGGCAAATTCAGAAACCTTTCTTCTTCTAAATTAGTTGAACTAGTTCAGTGCTTTACACTTCACATCCTGCAGACGATCATCACATCCCATGTAAGTTTAGGGCTTCCTTCAAAGTCGGAGTGCATCTGCCTGAGAGGCAAGGAACCAACAGGTTACATACAAATTAGTAAGATCTGTAAAACAGATCTGCCTGCAACATTCTTGTTCTGGAACAGGACTAAAGTCTATTATACATTGCTTTTCACCCTGCCTCGAAAAAAAAAATTTTTAATTTTATTTTAATCTCGGAGCTTAAAGGCGGCAGATGAATTTTTGTCTAAGTACAAAGTGATGGTCACATTTTCACTTGATGCATATTTGGGTATAAAGTAAAGGATCCTTTTCCATGCCTTTAGGCGTATAGGGCATATAGGGCTAGACCTATATTTTATAGACCAACGTCACAAGATGGCTGATGTGGTCAGCGTCACGCCTGGCCGCCTCTACTTCCGAGACTGCACACGGTATCCACTCAAGGCTGGGTGGACCTGGGAGCCAAGGTCATTTTTGAAGATAAGTCCGGCTCTGCCAGGAAGAGAACCCACAACCTTCTGATCCATGGAGCATGTTTAGCTGCTCTGCCACGACGACTCCCATATTTGGGTATACAGTGCTACAAAATGTAAGGTTACATTTTCACTTTCACCCATCGAGGGCAGACCTGTTTTCACTGTAGCGTGCATCTTCTTATCCATGATGTGGCTTACTGACTCTGCCATCAGCTAATACTTCCACAGGGCAGACCTGTTTTCACTGTAGCATGTGTCTTCTTATCCATGATGTGGCTTACTGACACCGACATCAGCTAATCCTTCCACAGGGCAGACCTGTTTTCACTGTAGCATGTGTCTTCTTAACCATGATGTGGCTTACTGACACAAACATCAGCTAATCCTTCCACAGGGCAGGATTTCTGGGCATATAATGCCAGTTTCATATTTGTATAGACCAAACAGGACTCAATGGTTGATGTGGCCAGTATGACTGTGCCACATGCCTTTACTACCAATTCACTTACTGGCAACCAAGTGAGGGTGGGTCAACCTGATAGCCTGGGAACCACTGGGGTGTAGCTGCTAGACATCTGCTTGCTGGTAGGAAAGGTAGTGGGTTCAGGCCCGAATTTTTGTCTTCCAAAATATAACTCTGGCCCCCAGGTCAACCCATCCTTAAACAGATACCAGCTGAGTCACAGGAAGTTAAGGTGGCCGGCATGATGCTCAACACATCACCCACCAAGTGCTGATTGGTCTGGCCCTATATGCCCAATTCACCTGAAGGTGTGGAAAAGGGTTAAAAAGACAGGCAACCTGAGAAACTTTTCAAGCACTTCCTATCCTTTGTCACACTTTTTGATGACCTTTAGTGAAAATAGTTCAAACAATATAATTATTTAGACCTCTCTCTCTCTCTCTTTGTAACAACCACTTACTTTCTCTCTCCTCGCCTGTAGTAGAGGCTGTTGAAACAACATCTGTCCTCAATGGCGCTCGAGGTACAAATGGATTTGAGTACACCCCTAAAACAAAGTATAACAGATCTATGAAGTTATCAGCCTAAAAAAAAATACCTGTTCTGCATGCATGCATCACCTTATACCAACCTTCCTGTTAAACACAAACCTACTGCTGGGGTTGGTTCTGCAACGTCATGTAAAGGATACGCAAAAAAAAAAAAAACATACCTGGCATATAAACTGTGGGTGTTTCTTAAAATTTTACAAGTAATTGTTCTGGCTTAGATTGGGCAAATTTCCTCCACGGGTTTGATGTATTTTATTGTGAACAGGCTCCAGTACAGTGAAAAGTGTAACTACAGAACAACCTTTCAGATACTGGACTTGGTAACTGTTCACTCAGCTGATGCCAATCTTCATCCATGATCCCTCAGCTGATGATAATCTTCATCCATGTTCACTCCGCTGATGCTAATCTTCATCCATGTTCACTCAGCTGATGCCAATCATCATCCATGTTCACTGAGTTGATGCTAATCTTCATCCATGTTCACTCAGCTGATGCCAATCTTCACCCATGTTTACTCATCAACCAGTTTTAGTTCCCCAATCAAATACACTCACCCCAGAAGCCCTGTGGACCGCTGAGAATTTAGATGGCTGAATGACAGTCTGAGACGGTTCTCTGGCGTCTGAGCTGCTCACTTGGCCATTATCATTGGATGAAGCATCTTGGGCTGTTTTTAACAAGAAGAAAGATAAATCAATGATTATACTGGAGTACATTTTACTCTGTATGAACATGCTACAACATCTGCTCGTCTACAAGCCCCGCTGTAATTTTTTTCCAATCCGTCATAGCACTTGATATGGCCAAAATATTTCAGCTTCCGAGACAGGATGCTGTTTATTAGCCAATCTTCCTTGTTCAGATCCTCAAAAATATCAGTATTTCTCCTTTACTTTCTCCATGATATTCTGAGAATCTTTCTTAAGCTTTTCAGCTCAAAAGCGTCACTTTTCTTTCTTAATGACTGACAGGCAATCCCTGACTCACATTTATAAGTTGCTACAGGGAAGATGCATGCTCTCAAAATTTTAATTTGGATTTCCTTGCTAGTGCTTAACCATCGACTTTGAATGCTGTTTTACACAGTCTCTTTATATTTAACAAATGAATTAAATGTATACAGATGATGGCTTATACTTTTGACAGGTCAAGTATTATATAGTTTGTTAGGCGGCCCACGCTTGTAATAGTTTTGTTATCCACAAAGACATTGCAAAAATGCAGTTCAACAGCGAATCAGGAAAGTGCGTGAAATCTAAGTGCAAAAGTTTTTCCCAGATAAATAAACAAAAGAAAATGTAATAAACACTTTAAACAAAAATTTAATTTAGGTAGTCCTGTGCTGCTAGCCAAGTGGTTGGAACTCAGGGCTCGCACGTGGGGGACCCCGGTTCTATAGTAAGGGATGGGGATTTGTGTGTCAGGGACAGAAAATACAAATCCTAAGCTAAACAGCTGCTATCCTGGCAGCATGAAATGCTCAGCTGAAGACTCTCCCTGTCGTATGCTAGCCTCAAAGTGCTCAATCCAGCCAGTACAGATAGAGCTGTATGGTGAAACAACTGCTGCCTGAATGAGCCAGGCAAACACCAGTTTGGTGTGATGGTAATCAGGCTTTGTCTTATTTCCATGCCTTGAGAAGAGTTTGACATATGGTGTCAGACTGAGTGACTCTCATTATGCGATGTGGGTAGGGGATTCCCTAGCGATGTTTTTTCCCCCAAATTTATTGGGGGAGGGTGGAGCTGAAGGAACTGAGCAGGACGGAATATATGAGCCCCTCCATCAGCACACATTTTTTTTTAAACAAGAACTGATGGCAATATCAATGGCCATCTGAGGAAATCCAGTCTAATCTACCAGTTCTAACTAGGACATGCTCGAGAAAACAGCCATTTAAGCCAGACCAACGACAGCATTCACCCGTGTGCAGACATTCTCACTCTTAAACTAACCACCTTCTCTAAATGTGTCGTGTTTTTACATTACAGGGAAAGCTGTTACTAGGGACTCTTTTTTTTTTTTTGTGCAACAGCATTCTAGTATAGGATATTAGACTCATACTGCTACACACCACTCGTAGCTCAAGGGGTGATGTGGACATTCCACTAGCTGCTTTTACTTGACAGGACATTTTCGGCTAGGCTTACCTGGCAGCCAAGGTCAGATTGTGCTCCTTCAGAGAAAAAAATCCCTCATTAGTCGCCTCTTACAACACGCTTTTCAGAGAGGCAGTGGGTCTATTCATTCAATCCCCCCCCCCCCCCCACCCCCCCCACCAAATGGGGCCCTGGAATCCTCATGAAGAATTACTGAAAGTATATTCCACATGTGTGTTACCAGAGCACATGATGGAAGCAAAGAGTAGAAACACAGTTACTTATGCACATGTAAGAGTTCACTAAGGCAGGTGGGTGTGAGATGGCTACATCACAGAGAAAACCAGCTGCAACAGCTAACCAATCACAGACAAGTCCATAATGTGCTTGCCATATGTTGGTTCAGGATCTACTCAACATTGAGAACTCAAAGAAAGAACAAGAAGAAGAAGAAGAGAAAGCATATCAACCTTGGAATCTGTGCCCTCTGAGCTATCATCCTCACTTTTTGTCGAGTCTGAAAAGACACACAAAAAATACGAGTTAATTTTCAAACATTGCTAGTGCTGGCATTGGTTGACTGGTTGGTTAGTTGTTGTGAGTCCTGTGGAAGGTTCCATTTTTACCTCTTAAGTCAAACGCATTAGCACTCAGGTCATCAAAGCAATACAGTGAGTGCATCTATTGGAGACTGTATGGAGACTGAACATAGCTACCTAAATCATGGACCAGGTTACTTCATAATCACAGGACACCCAGATGAGATTGTTTTATCCATTTCAACGGAGTATCTGAGATCATCATCTGTTATATTTGCATATGAAGTGTGCCCAATTTTCTGTGTCAAAAACTTTTGCCCTGTAAGACATGGCCTTTTCGAAAATTAAGTTTTTTTTTTTTAAATATATTAAAAATACATCTAAATTTTTTTTAAATATTAACTCTAAGAAACTAGACGAAGAAAAGAAGAAATCTGGAATCTTGGTAAGTTTTTTAAAACACCCAGGAGGTCAAATCCGTAGACCACTGAACAGACAAAAAAGTATGAAGTCAAGAGCAGCAGCGTATTCACTCAAATCATTAATATTATTTAATTCATTTTTCATGCAATATCAGTTTTTTTTTTTTTAAGTGAGAGAATCAATCACCAAATGCAAATGAAGCAAGTTGCTTTGTTAACTTGACTCCCTGGACAAAGAGATGTGATTCTGAGGTTATTATAACACAGTGGTTATCAACCTTCGTAATGCTGCGACCCTTTAATACAGTTCCTCGTGCTGTGGTGGCCTCTAAACATACAATCAATTTCGTGACTACTTCATAACTTCACTGAATATGTGTTTTCCTATGGTGGTCTTAGGCGAACTATGTGAAAGGGTTGTTCGACCCAAACAAGAGTCTCGACCCACAGGTTGAAAAATGCTGAATAACGTAATGATTACATCAGTTTTTACAAGTGTGAATTTTTCAACCTAAAAAATATCTTAACATTGATTTCCATGGTCACACCCACCAGGTCTACACATTTTGCATATACAGCCAACACCAAAGCTGTTAGGACATGTGGCCACTGCCTAAAGATTTCATGTCAGCAACAACAAAATGTAAATGATGAAAAAACAGCTTTCTTAGAGTGATAGAGTTCACTATAGACCAAATATTATGTTGGTGCTGTTCCATCTTTCCAGATGACGGTGTTAAATTGTGCTATAGGAAGGCACAAGAATCACAGTCCACGATGGGGGCGAGTCCAACTAGCAAGACCTGTTTCTATTAATAAAGGTCTTCCACAACTACAAACACAATATGAAAGTGCATAACTATAGAACCAACAAGAAAGTGAATATTAACTTGTGGCCAATAAGATAGTGTCAAATAAACATAGTTTCAAGTTACATACATTACAGACAAACCCCATAGGATCATATGCAAGCAACAGTTACAGAGAACTATAACCAAAAAATAAAGGGGGGGTGGGGGTAATGGTTGAATAAAATTAAATCTTTACTCCCTAAGTGGTAGCACTAGTTTGAAAATCAGTCTTATTCTTATTTGCGTTCGATGGCTATAAACTCCTGCATGAATTTCTGGTTGTTTATCTGCTTCTGGACTTTAGTCTTGTTCCAGATCTTAAGTGTTGCAAGCACACCTGTTTTTCACATGTGGCTTAAATGAATGCAGACTGTTGGTTCCTTGCCACTCAGACAGATGTAGTCCAACTCCGAAATGTTTGTCAGAGAGGCAGTGTGTCTAGTCTTATTTTTCGACAATGGGACCCCGCCACCCACATGGGGAACAAAATGAGAGTTCTTGTGTAAGTGAAGGAATCACAAGCACTGAGAAATCAAAAAACTACTGACAGAGTACAAACATTCATTTACTGGTGTCTGAGCAGGAAAAGTGACCGAAAATGTAATGTAAGGAATGAGGCATGTGGATTTCATCTCTGTATCCTTTTTATGTCACTGCCAACAAATAAAGCCTTCACAAAACATCTACACTGCTACATTTCTGCCTATGGTTTCCCATGTCATTTTCCATTACTTAATTTCCCTTTCTACTGTCTTTCTTCTGGTTTTCTTAGGTCATTCACGTCTTTTTCTATCTGCCATCGACTGGACAACTGGCCTTGCCAAAGTATCACAAGGCATTCTGCAGCCACATTCTAGCTGCCTTGCCAAAGTATCACAAGGCATTCTGCAGCCACATTCTAGCTATCTCCACCTTCTTCCTTTCATCATGTCTTTTAGTGATAAAGATTTGTTTTTCCTGCTCAGTTCTTCTTTTGCTAAATTCTCCTTAGACAGCTTTTTTTTTAAACAGTCTTTAGTTTATGTGTAATTCCTAGCTCTCACTGTTGTATAATCATATTCTGAAAATGAGTTTTGTCTTCAAGCTCACGGAGGAAACTTATTAACATTTCAGCGGATCAAAGTCAAAGTGAGAAAAACAACATAGTTGATAGATTATAGGCTATCCTTCGAATGACGATCCCAAATTATTGAGGCTAAGAAAATACCCTAACGGGGCCTCAGTCATATGTAAATTGCAGACATCTACCGCATACTACGGAAAAGCTTCCGCCGAGTTAAAGTCACTGCCGAGTTTCCCCCACACCACTATGTGCGGCACGCTGCTAAACTAGATGGCTGGGACTCACGAGCAGCAGCTACCACATCTCCTGCAGCTTCCTCCAATTTATTTGCTCGTGAATCCCAGCCATATAGTTTAGTTTCCCTCTGTGCCGCGTGTAGTGGCGTGGGGTATACTTTGGGCGGTATAGTCGCTAGAAAGAGGCCTGCAATTTACATATGACTGAGGCCCTGTTAAGGTATTTTCTTAGCCTCAATAATTTGGGACCGTTCTTCTGAGAATAGCCAGATTATATTTATACAAGAAAGGTTTAGATTTAATAAGCTGTTAACTCTGAGTCCCAGGGGGTTTAGCAACACAGACCCAAGGGGTAATCAAGAAAGACATAAAATTGGCGCATCTTGCGTGCATTGGGCTTCTAGGTAGGAATCTATGAACATATGATGCGTTCCTTGGGACTCAAAGAGTTAAAAGTAGTGTTCATTATAATTGCAAAATGCAAATTAAATAGAGATGTATAGACGTGGAAAATACAGAGATTAATTATATGCATAAGACGTGGAAGGCAAGACACTAGTAGTAGTAGATTATAGGACCAGAGGGGTGTTCTTGAGTGATTGAAGTGGGTTGTTAGGGTCTATGACTATGTTTGGCATAGGCTAGGTAATCAAATAAATTCAAATATAAAAGTCAGAGGACTGGAAAATTATTTATCAAAAATCAACATCGCAAACAGAACAGACTATGGAGAATTATCTTAACTTATAAAGAGGACACAGCAAGCCGATTTCCACGAAAATAAAACATTTTTAATAGAAAAAAATAATAATAACAAAGAATAAAGAGGGAAAGAATCGAAGGATGCTTTTGGCAGACGACTCTAAACAAATTAATGAGCGCTGAAGAGATGTTTTAAGTTCGCACAAATCATGATTTCTTCGAGAGACAGCTTAAATAAGACGGCCTTACTGCTGGTACAATGTACAAGCTTCGCAACTGTGGAAATGCATTTGAAACAAGGATATAATGGCCCCCAAACGGAGATAAGAACAAGCTATGTAACCAGTTTTCATTCACCTGCGGCGCTCTCCGCCATTTTTTTTCTTCTTGGTCAATGATCACGTGACGTAGATGGCGCAGATGCTGATATCATTCACACGGAGCCGTACTGCAGGCAGAATGTTGAATGTTGAATTAAGAATCGACATCACAGCACTCTGGACACTCCCATAAGCGCTCCGCCCCCATCTTCGGCAGCAAGCGAAGAGTTAAATTCCGAAAGTACCAATAACTGTCTGATTGTATATCCGTTTCGCCACTCACCCCAAGTGTCGAGCGTCTGCCAGATCCCCTTGTGACTCCTCGCAATGCCATTCTCCTCAGACCGCCATGATCTATCTGTTCCTCGGCACTGTTCACTCGCCCCCAAAGGGCCCTCACAACATCCAGCTTGTCATATATCAGTTCACCACCAAGTGGTGCAGAACCGGCCAGTATATCAGCCTGTTCATTTCCCAACACACCGGCGTACCCTGGAGAAAATATCCAAAGGATGCTAACTACCCGGAACCTCTGAAGTGATGCCTGCCACCCTGCACGAAGCATGCCTGTCTCCACCTTTCTCCGCATGCTCTGTGAGTCAGTTACAATGACGACATGTGTGTACAGCTGATTCTCAAACCAACGAAAGGCAGCAGTGACTGCATCCACCTCCATTCTCAAATTAGACGTTGTGATATCATATGCCAGGTATTCTTCTTGTCCATCCAGTATATTCAAAATATTATCTTTGTCCATCCAACAATATTCTTCTTGTCCACCCAGTGTATTAGCAGCATTCTTCTTGTCCACCCAATATATTAGCATTATTCTTCTTGCCCACCCAGTATATTAGCATTATTCTTCTTGTCCACCCAGAGTATTCGCAATATTATCCTTTTCCATCCAGTATAAACACAAGTTTGATAGGGACTTGAATCTCTGCACCCTTCGGTATCGCAAGTTAGCGTGTTGGCTACTGCGCTACCATTGGCTCCCAGTCGATGGATCCATCAGTTTGTCCCCTCCGTTTACCATACCTTCATGAGAATAAAACATGACGGCAACACACATAAGGCTCCCCGTTAGAACTAAAGAGCTAACAGGGCGTACAATTAAGATACATATGTGAAAAGAATGTGCACGCAACACTCAGTTTCTGGAAAAAGACTCAAGTCTAGAGGTGGACAAACAACTAAAACTTTCCACCGCTCTGGAATCGAACCCGGCATCCCGGCATTACGAAGCGAAGTGTTCGCATCGACTTAGCCACAGAGCCGACACGGAACCTATACATAATTTATAATGATACCACCCGTAATGGCTGTACTTGCCATGTATAACCTAGTCGTATGCGGGTACGGACAAGAGCCCACTTCCAGACAGTACTTGCTATAAATAGTCCTCCTTCTTTCAAAGGTTTTCTCTTGCCGCACTTCCTACTAGTCAGAGATCATTCATCACTTCGACGGCAACTGTAAGATTAGTGATTGATGAATTTGACTACAATCCGTCTGGCTGGTTGGTGAGAGAGGAGCAGCCTGTCCTGAAATTCTATTTGAAACTCGCTTGTCGTCTGTTGTGCCAACTACGGATAACTGACATGCTAGTTTTTTTTTTCTTCTTATATTTAAATAATTTATGTTTGTCGATTAATTTTGGCCATTCAATACTGCACAGCTTATGTACTAGTTGTAATAGACGTTGGGGGTATAAATTGTCAGGTTTATTATATTATTAAGTGTACTTTCAAGTGGACTGGGTAAATACAGCCAGCTCCCATGTAGGCGGAGTTAGGGACGTATCTGGCTCTACCAATGTGAGTAAAAACTGATTAAAAACATTTTGTCGACTTTTCGGCACGAAAAACTTTTTCTTAGTAGCAAGTGGTAGGGTACAACTATTCTTATTTTTCTGTTGTCTAGCTGCCTATCCCGTTAGCAGTGATTCCAAAACTATGCGCCACGGCGCCCTGGGGAGACACAACCTCTTCACAGGGGCGCCGCGAAAGATTTTAATTGAAAAAAAAAAAGGCGCCGTGACTAAGAAAAGTTTGGGAAAGTGCCGTAAAGCCACGCAAAGAGGAGTTGTATGTAATTTCCTGTCTTTTGCCAGGTGTGTAGCTTGTGGTAATGATATAGTACGTTTCTGTAGTGTTTTTTACTCCCTCCGCCCATATCTTTCTTAGTCTGCCTCTTGACTTGTAGCCTGCTGTTCTCATGTAGTATAATAAATATTAGTATAATTATTAACACTTATTGACAGTCATAACAACCAGGGAATTTTCTGGCGGGCAGCACCAGAACCCTGTTTTATGTATATTTTTCAGCACTACAGTAGAGAACACATTGTGGTGAGTACTAGCGCCCACTTAAGACGCACTGTATCGAGTACTGGCGCACACTTTAGACATACTGTGGTGAGTACTGGCGCCCACTTTATATACACTGTGGCGAGTACTAGCGCCCACTTTAGACACACTATTGTGAGTACTAGCGCCCACTTTAAACACACTAGTGAGTACCGTCACCTTAAAAAAAAGCCCTGATAACACAATAACTGTTTTTTTTTTTTTCAGTTTAAAGGTAGCTCTGCCTTTATCGCTTTTCGAGCACTACTGAGACCATTCTCTGCACATTCTGTTTTTGATGGCTGCTTTTTGTTGTTTTTCCCAGTCCAGTGAATACTGTGTTGAGGCTCCGGGTGCTATTTTAAATATTGCCGTCCGTTTGTGGGATGCAATTTTTCTGAATACAGCTGGGCAACATTTGTGGCCATAACAGCTGAAAGGGGTTTCTGTCACCTCTCCATGAGTTATATCTCATCCGTCCATTTTAGGGCACTTTGTGTCATTTGAAGCCCTACTTTATATCGCAGGGGCTGTAATGTCCTGGTGGGGTACAACAAGCAAGCTACGGGTGCTCGTTTTGGCCGCTCTGTGAGGCTTTGTTGCCTTCTATACCTATGTGGGTCCCGGGATAGAAACCGATGGTTGTTTCACCTCTCATGAGGCCTTCTTCGTGGCCTCGTGTGTCACCGGGTGCGGCTGCGCTTTGTCGTGGGGTAGAAGCGACCCCCTGTGCTGGTGTTTCTGCTGTTTTCTCTTGGGGCGCTGGACCAGCCATGCCTAGTTGACCATGTTTCTTAGTGCACTTGTATTCATGGCGAGGAGCAGACGCCGTCTGGAGGTGACAGGTTCAATTCCCGGCACGGTAACTATAGCTTTCGATTTTTATGTTGTCTAGTGTGTTCTTCTATCTTTCTACTTCTTTATATGAGCGCCGATCAATACACTTTCTGTTACTTGATCCAGCCATCTTGGGACTATCGGCGCGTGATTCATGAGTTGGCCCTTGTCCTTTCCCTCGTGTTAGCCATTCCAGTTTTGTCACTTTGTGAGTTTAAGCGATGGCCCTATTAGGCGGTACATAGTGTTTATTATAAAGTAGGCTATAATACCTAGAGCCAGGCTCCTTCCTCTCGTGATGCTATCTTTGAAGTCTTCGGTTGACTGTCGTTGATTCTTCTTTCTGAGAGCTGGGGAAAAAAAAAACCCCGTCCATATGGATTAGCCGTATATGCGAGAGATCAATGTCTGGTAATGGCTATTGATAATGCGATTCTCAAATAATGCGTGACGAAATAACCAGTCAAGACAGATCAATAAGATCAATAACAAGGCATCTATTATTCCTGTGTTTATATATCTCGCCAATTATTGACATTTCTTGATTATAATTGGAACAATGAGAGCCCTTTGGGGGGGGGGGGGGGGGGGAGGAAGGTATAAGATGTTTCTAGACTGTTCCAATGGCAGGAGAGTCGTACCGAGAAAGAGACTTGGATCTAAAAGACAGCATTCATGGACACATTCATGGCTGCCAACTTTTAACGCATAGACGGCACACAACATACTTTCTTCTAAACTACAACTTCTGCTATTTCATTTTGGTATTCTTTCTTTCTTTTTTTTTTTTTTTTTGTCCGTCCCGCTGCTTTGCCGTAAGACGTTATAGAGAGGAGAAGATGTAATTTCATGTCTTTGTGCCTACCATTGTTTTTGGTTCTTTGTTGGTGACTGTAATATTTTGGTTATTCTCTCTATCTCGTGTCGGCTCTTTGGCTAAGTCGATGCGAACGCTTCGTAATGCCGGGGTGCCGGGCTCGATCCCAGCTGCGGGCCATGCGCCTTGCGTTGGTTTCGACAGTGGTATCAGGGAGCCGACCATCCAGTAAGCCATGGCAAACTACTGGACGTAATTAGCCTAGAGAAACCACACAACAGCCAGGGGCTGCTGGGGTTGGTTCTGCAACGTCCTGTAAAGGATACGCAACTAACTAACCGTCTATCTCGACTCTTTCTCTGCCTAGTGCTGTTATGCATCGCAAGCACGGTGGGATCTCCGTTCCCTTTCTTGATCCTTTCTACGTGGATTATATCTAGATTAGGATTGTCCAGCCTTATGCTGTCAGTGATCTTTCGATCCTTGTGATGATTCCCTTGACCGTCATGGTAATGGTCTCTTTCACAATCTCAATTGCCACCGGGATGCGGTGTGAGCTTACAATCTGTTGCTCATTCGTGCTTTTTAGGCGTGTGAGGTGGTTTCTTGTAAGCTCGGCACAGTTGAGGGGTGCTATGAAGCAAGCATTCCTTACAAGTATGCTGGCGATTGATTTGTTACCAGTCCCTGTCTCAGGCAACTCCGCGGCCTCACTATTCTTCACGCTAAATAGCAACAACTGTGGTGATACTTTGGCGTTATTTTTACTCGGATTCTCTTTTTTCTTCTTAGCGGTTCGTTGTTTTCTGGTATGTTGGCCAGTCCCTGAGAGGGATAGTTACGTATTTTTACTGTCTTGCACCATCACAGGCAGGTTGCGAACTGTTCTTTATTATAAATCACTAACCCTTTCTGTATTTCCTATTTTTTTTTTAAATGAAGTGTCAACTCCTCCCAAACCGTGACAAACACAGAAGGAAAATTTTCATTTGCCATTATAAAATCAAATTTGGTATTTAAGTTACATTGGCCGCCAGGTTATTGTTCATTTCTTTATTATTGCGACAACCAGTAAAAGTAAACTTTTGCTGGAGCTATGTATCTTTGAATATTTGTTACTTATTACTTCCCTTGAAAGGTTAATTTTTAATTTATTTTACTCCTTTAGGTTTTCTACTGCTACTATTCCAGTGTGTTTACTACTACTACTACTACTACTACTACTACTACTACTACTACTACTACTACTACTACTACTACTACTACTACTACTACTACCACCACCACCACCACCACCACCACCACTACTATTACTACTACTGCCAGTACAGTATGTTACCTGGAACTACTCTGCCAGTAAGTTACATATTACACCTCCAATAACATTTCTGCACTGATGGATTTTATTTACATGGAAACTAAATATTTATGGAAATGTCTAGGGAACAATTCGAACTAAACTGAGCAGATTAGTCTCTGCTACTGAAGGCTTTGGCCTTGGTCAGAAAATGTCCCTAGGGTCATAACAGTAGACCTCTTCACGAGCTGAGTTGCTGGGATGGACATGGCATTAGCAAAGGTGGATTGGATGATTGATTAGTGTGACCAAGATCGATTAGGTTGAATTGATTCAAATAAAGAAACCCTTCAATAACTTTGATGTTGAGCCTGAGGTTGTTTTTTTTTTTTTTAAACCTCCAGGTTTATATTGACAGTTAGATGATAGATTAGTGTGACCATGGTCAATTAGATTGACTAACTGAAAGTGAGGACTGATTTTCATTCTCAGGCTTGATTTATGCTTTGAATATTAGTCATATTTTAGTTATCTTCAGTTCACTTCATATCATTGTGCATACGTCAGGTTTTAATTGCTTTGCATAGTCTATAGTTAAAGAATTTTCATTTTTTGTTTATAGGGATATATGGTCATCTTTGAAAACTCATGCCCAACCCCACACAGATTGATAGCGGTTTAGAACTATCATTCACGTTTCTTGGGGTGTGGGCCCTGTCCAGCATCTGTTTACTTTGTTCACTTTTTAGTTAAGTGGGATTTTTGTAGTTATTTTTCTAAACATTTCTTTGCATTCACGTGTTGTAAACTTTGAAAGCCATTCTGGTTGTTGTTCATGCACATTTTCACTGGAATTTTTGTGTAGTTCTTATCCTGTGCTCCAAGACTGTTTAATGTTTTTAAAATAATTATAGCCTTCATATGAACTGGTTAATAAATGTTTATAGTTAACTATTAACTGTTCTGTGTGGCTAAGGATAAACAAAGTGTTAAATAAACACTGTTTCTCAATCTTTGTGCTCTAATTTTGTTTTCTTTTGCAGCAATCACACAGCCTAGTTTACCCCAAGAAAGCAACAGTCTAGATAGAACAGTGATAAAGAACACATCAATGCAGGACACCTGTGATGCACGTTTTTAAATGGTTGCCTTTTTCTTGGCTGATTACTCTTCGATGCCAGCGGTAGAAAAATCGGTAGGAATCTAAACATCATTAGAAGACTACTCTTCAAAGTTTTTGCACAGCTGCTCTTCCCCTTGTGTTGCACAGCTGCTCTTCCCCCTGTGTTGCACAGCTGCTCTTCCCCTTGTGTTGCACAGCTGCTCTTCCCCTTGTGTTGCACAGCTGCTCTTCCCCTTGTGTTGCACAGCTGCTCTTCCCCTTGTGTTGCACAGCTGCTCTTCCCCTTGTGTTACACAGCTGCTCTTCCCCTTGTGTTACACAGCTGCTCTTCCCCTTGTGTTGCACAGCTGCTCTTCCCCTTGTGTTGCACAGCTGCTCTTCAACTTGTGTTGCACAGCTGCTCTTCCCCCTGTGTTGCACAGCTGCTCTTCCACTTGTGATGCACAGCTGCTCTTCCACTTGTGTAGCTGCTCTTCCACTTGTGTTGTGTAGCTGCTCTTCCACTTGTGTTGTGTAGCCACTCTTACACTTGTGTTGTGTAGCCACTCTTCCACTTGTGGTGCACAGCTGCTCTTCCACTTGTGGTGCACAGCTGCTCTTTATGCTCTTCCAGTTCTGTCTCCTGGGTCCGAATTCAGTTGTCATATGATCATAGAAAGGGCTCAAGTCCTACCTGTCTTCTGTACCCTAGGAGTCATTTTACAAGTGTATTGTTCAGTTTAGGTTTCTTTCATGTTGTGGAAATCGACTTACAATCTCAGGTGTTCTTTGAACTAATAGTTGTATTTTTCTTTTGTATTAGATACAGATTTTGATACAAAAGCTGCTTGCACCCTGGTCCCGTATCTGTTACCATAAGGCAAGATGTTAGCTTCTCTTCAGAAAAGATTTCTCTTTAAGAGATTCCTGTTCTCATTCTTTTAATGGTGATTACAATTGTCTTATCTGTAATAATCAAGCGGAGGATCAAAGATGAGAACATGGCCATAGATCCACAAGTTACAGGCTGTCAGAATGTTCTAGAGACAATGATGAATGGCACCTGGGTAGAAAGACCTCACACACAACAGGAGTTGGAGAGTATAGAACATTTCATTAGTGCAGCACGACAGGAGCACTCATTGCCGCCAGAAATGCAGAGGACAGACAGACATTGTGGTAAGCCATACATCTCTAACAGCGAGTAGCAGTAGTAATAATAGCATTAGTTTTCAAGAAACAAAAAGTTACCCGTATTCCTAAACAAAGGTACTACGTACCATTGAGTATCACCAGAAGACAAGCCCTGGTATTAGTAGTAGCATTTATAGTATAAGCGGTAATATAATTAGTAGTACTGGTTGTAGTGATAATAATAGAATTAATTGTTGTAGTGGTAGTAGTGGTACTAATAACTAATAATTATAGAAATATTTGTTGTAGTGGTAGTAGTGGTAAACAACAGTACTAATAGTAAAAATAATAGTATTAGTAACAATAGAAATAGTAATAATAATATTATTAGTCGTGGTAGTAGTAGTAATAGTGGTAGTGTAGTGGTAGTACTGCTAATAATAACAGTAGCAGTGGTAATGGTAGTCATAGCTGTAGTGGTAGTTGTAACAGCAACATTTGTTGAAGTGATAGTGATATTAGTAGTAGGGACTGTGGTTGTGGTGGTAGTGGTAGATGTAGAAGTGTTAATGTTAATAACAGTAATGGTGGAATAGGTTATAGTAATTGTGGTAGTAGCATTGGTAGAAAAAAATAGTAATTATAGTAGTAGTAGAGTAATAAACTGGCTGTAATAAAAAAAAAATGATGAAGAAGTTAAAAATGTCACAGAGTTTGAATATTTAGTCTCTGTAATGAATGGCAAGAGAGACTGTTCAACAGAAGTCAAAAACTATAGCAGTACAAAGATTAAACAGCATAAAGTGCATGATTAAGCAACTGCAATAAAATAAGAGTCAAATCTTTAAAAGCATGCATTTTCCCTGTAGCAACATACGGATGGGAGTCGTGGACTATCTCCCAGTCATTAAGGAAGAAAATAGGGGCATTTGAGATGAAATGCTAAAGATAGATTCTAGGGGCTTCTGAGCTGAAATGCTATGGAAAGATTCTCAGAACACCAAAGGCAAAGAAGAAAAGAAATACTGACACCCTAAAAAGACCTGAACATGGAAGAAGATTGGCAAGTAAACAGCATCTTGTCTCAGAAACTCAAATATTTTGGGCATATCAAGCAACATGGCAGACTGGAAAGAATAACAGCAGACGGCATGGTATCAGGAAAGATTGGCAGGGGTCGGCCAGCGTGAAGATGGGCACAGGAGATAAGTGACACCTTTGTTTGTTTTTTTTAAACTGCAGAGGTTTTTGCATTTTAATTAACAGAAAAATTCTTAGCATGCCATGGAAATTGACACGCTATAGGATTTAAAAAAGAAAACGGGCTCATAAACAGCATCTTGACACATAAATGGAAATAATTTGATCTAATGAAATACCACAGTAGGTTACAAGGACCACTATATTATAGGTTGGTTTATCTTCACAGCATTTGGGACATGTTCAAAGGTGCTCAGTCTCACCCCCCCCCCCCCCCCCAAAAAAAAAAAAAAAAAACATTGGCATCAACATTACGTGGATTATAGTACCAACCCTCTCATGGATTGACCAGACCTGCCAGGTGTGCCTGGTTGTGTGGATTTTACTTCAAAATCTCTAAGATAATTAAAAAAAAAAAAAAAACAAGAACATTGGTTAAAGGATACTGAAATATTTTGGTCATATCAAGCAGCACAGTGGATTAGCAAGCAATAGTACCAGGAAAGAGGGGCACAGGCCAAAAACTATTAAAACGGGCAAAGACATCTTGGGTAAAAAAAAGTGCACAAAGTTGTTCCTGCGAGAACAGGCACAGTAATATAAACATATTTGTATGAAAACACAAGGCCACTGTCATAGGCCTGAGTCTGTTATTCCGTCTGAGAACTTCAACTGGACAGTCAGACTGACAGACGTGTAAATATTTATTGAAAACGCCTCAGCTAAGTGATTTTGTTTTTTCTTGTTTGTAAATATAACATTGTCAATTCATGCAATGTGCTGAGAAAAGCTTTCTAACTGCAACACTGACTAGCAGTTAGTGATTAGGACAATGTGAAGCTGGCTAGTTCTACTTTTCGTTTGGTCTGAAATATTTTCAAGATTCTATTTGACAAGCTGTTTTTGAAAGGACCTGCACTATGGTGATGATAGTGACAGTTGAGTGAGTAATTTCATGCAATATTTTCAGGCAATGTAACATTTAATGAGCTGACCAGTCGATGGGGCAAGCTGCAGTGGTTTCGAGCTCTCTGTGACCCAAAGGGGCTTGTCCCATGTTGCTACAACAATGTGTGCACTTCCAGGCCAAAGGAAGATTGCAAGTGCCCATATTGTTACGACATGCGCCAGCCGTTACATGCTGAACTGGCAACCTGGGTGCCTAATGATCCCACATGTAAGGTACTGCCAGTTTGTGTGTTTTTTTATACTTGACTCTTCTATCCTCCTTTTTTTTTCCCTCAGTAACTACTAAACAGCTACAAAATGCTTGGGCTGGTTCTGTAACATCCTGCAAAGGATGCAAATAACTAACTTTCCTTTTCTCTTCCCTTTACTTTTTGTGTGCTCTTTTTGTCTGCATCTTCTGTTTCTCACTCCTCCTTCTGGTCTTCCTTGTTCTCTTTGTCTTTTTCTCCTATTCTCATCTGCAATAATAAGCTCTTGGTCAACTCATGCACAGTCAATTGGAGACTTGTTTATAACTGGTTCTTCTACAGTCACCTTTGTAGAAACATTGCATTGTAGTGTATAGCTAGGCTGCAGTATCTGCATCTTTCAGCACAACACATCCAGTTTAAAAGTATAGGTCCATTGTCCACGTCTTCAGCTGTATTGGGAACATAGGGCTAGACCTATATTTTTATCGGCACTTGGTGGTGCCGGTCGCTTTTACTTCCCAGGATTGCACCTGGTACCCACTCAAGGCTGGATCGACCTGGGGTCAAGGTCATTTCTGAAAAAAAAAAACTTCTAGCTCTGTCAGGACGCAAACCCACGACTTTCTGATCTGCCGGCCGGCGACATCCAGTCCAAGCAAACCCTGAATTAGTTGTCTATTATAACATGACTGTTAGAGGCCAGTGGAGTTTATAATTGGTTGATTGATTGGTTGATTGACTGGGTCAGCCTCTCCAAAACTGAGTTTTAATTCTTTAATGACATGACATGCACTGACACTGAGACAGTCGGATTCAATAAGAGTTTCCACCTGTTGGAAAGATGTTGGTGTATAGGAGGAGTGATGACTCTGAGGCCAACAGGTTATATAAAGCCCATAAAATCATTTGGTCTGGCTCTACCAAGCCAGTGACAGTTAAATGGTTAAACAAAAATAACAGGCTACATTTTTAAGTTGACAGTTGTTATGGCTTCACAAATAATGTTATAAAAATCCAAATTACCCTTAGCAGAAAAAAAAAGCTTTCTCACTCATCTTGTCGGGACGTCTCCTAGTCTATTCTTCTTAGTGTTCATGGCTGTAAACTCCGGGGAAAGTTCTGGTTGTTTGTCCACTTTTGGACTTTGGTCTTGTTCTGGAATTTGAGATTGCTTACATATTCATTGTACATATCTTGCTTATTTATATGCAGACTGCTAGCTCTTTCCTCTCAGGCAGATGCAGCCTGACTTTGAAGAAAACACCCCTAAGTAGTCATCTCTTATGATATTCTTTTTAGGGGAGCAGTGCGTCTATTCTCACCACCAGGGGCCCCCAGAACCCACAGGAAGAGACCACACACTTAATCACTATCAACATAAGCATATTTGAACCTCTTCAGCGTCTAAAAGGATTCTCATTCGATAGACTGTTGAACCAAACTTATCTAGCAGGAACCTCACTCACTCAATGAACTTATCTAGCAGGAACCTCACTCACTCAGTGAACTTATCTAGGAACCTCACTCACTCAGTGAACTTATCTAGGAACCTCACTCAGTCAGTGAACTTATCTAAGAACCTCACTCAGTCAGTGAACTCATCTAGAAACCTCACTCACTCAGTGAACTTATCTAGGAACCTCACTCAGTCAGAACCAGTTTGTCAGAAAAGTAGGGCACACCTTCAGTTGACATCATTTACTCATGATTTAGGGTTTGGCTGATGAATGCTTTCCCCATTGTGATTTCTATTCACCATATCTCCAGGGAATACCAGCTTCAAGATCCCTTGTACTTCAGTAACAGCCCATGACAGCCATTTATCTAAGATCTGGGATTAGGTGCAGTATGTAGTGAGCAGGGGGATCTGCCTGACATTTAACGGAAAGGCACGATGGACATACAGTCAAATTGCTACTAGTATCGTTGCAATGGGAACTTTGTGCTGCTGAAGATGTGGATGGACAGCTTATGGGAATGTCCTGGGGGCTGTGATGCCAGTTCTTGGCTTGACTCAGCTGGCAATAGGCCCAGATGGACACCTTTTTCCTCCGCAGAAGTGAGCTATTTAATCTACGACCCAGTGCTTAGTATTTTTGTTGTTGTTGCTTTCAGATGACAAGATTTGATACGGTTGAGGATACGTGCAGACTCCTGCAGAATATGACAATCTTCATGTTCGGGGATTCACTTGTACGTCACATTTACATTGCACTTCTCAACATTCTCAGACAAGGCACGGCTCATGGTGTTCTAAAGAAAACTGCTAGCCCAGGTAGGAACTTCATGGAGACAGCTGGTATCTTACCTGTTATCATCATCATCATCAAGTGCCGTGCTGAATGGAGTTGTTGATCACATTCCTCCATAACCACTTGTTCTGGCTGTATTATATACATTTCTTTTGGGATTGGGATGATGGGGTAGGCAAGGGGGGCTTCAAAGTGTAGTGTCTGACTTTAACTTTCCAGTGGCAACATCTTTATTCAGAGTAGAAGCAAAGGATGAGTGGAGAATAGACGCACTGTCCCTTAACAAGCAAGCAAGTTGTACGCTTTGACTAGATATGGTTTGTTGAAATCAGACGTGTTTAGGTGAAGGAACGAACGGACAAACTTTATTTTCAAAGAGTCACAAACTAGGCACGCATGACTGTCTCACATTGGGCCCTTCCAAACACACATTTGTCATACAGCAGTTGTATTTTGTCAATAAAGCATGTTATGTTCAAATAATAATATGCATATTATGAATATCAAGGAAAATACATGGGTAGTAAAATACATGCTCACACATTCAAGTTGAGAGCTGTTGAGCATTAAATATTGATCATGTTTTTTGTAAGTGGTTTTTTCCCATAAATATATTGAGTATGTGACATGACCGAGAGGTGAAGGTGTCGACTTCAGAGTTAATGGTTACCAGGTTTGAATCCCAGCCCTGGGCTGGACATTGTTACAGGATTAATTGATTTCTAATATCAAACATGCCACTGATCTCTTGGCTAGTGAAAGTAGATGCAGTGTTCTCATATCGAGATGAAAACAGAAGGGCCCATGTGAAAGCTTGCATTGTAGAATTTCCACAGTAGCTGGAGACTGTGAACAGTAGGTCACAAGACATTTGCCCTCTCACTGTTGTTAGGGCTGACAGTCTGTGGGACGGTAAATGGAACCTGTTCAAATGGACTGAATCTGCTTGACACAAATGCATGATAGGTCCGATACACTAAATCTACAGGTTCACCGACTAAGAAAAAACATTGGGGGAAAAAAGGGGAGAAGAAGGGGGAGAAGAAGGGGGGGGGGGGAGGTCAGTAACTGAAAACTAAAATTAAACAGTACTCAGAGCTATCCCACAAAACACTGTATAATGATAAAAATAATATTATGTTGACTGGAGAAAAAAACAACCATATTTTTTAAATATAAGGTGTTCATAAAGCCACACTACACTTTGTTTGCAAAACAAATGTAAAAAGTACATGACATCACCGAAAAATGTGCTAAAAGGTAATTAAATTTATGACAATAGCTACTGCTAAGATCTGATGCTGTTTTGGGAAAGCTGAAGTACCAATGAAATATTCATTACAATAAGTTACATTCTCTGCAGCACGTCCGTTATTTTTAAAATGGCAATTCTGATTGCTTCTGTTGATGAGACCATTTTGTTTCGAGTGCAAAGAATTACTGCAGCAGATGACAGCCATTCACTGAATACTGACTGTGTCTGGGAGCACATTTGTTTGATTTTGTCTTGTACTTCATTTTTCACATTAGTTCTACATATAAAGTGTAGTGAGACTTTGCAAACACCCTGTAATATGATTTGTATAAGTAAACATTTAAAAGGAAAACCTGAATACACTTAGGTACTGAGCTCCCTTACAAAGTTTCTAAGAGAGCTTAAGATACCAGGTTAAGATATCAACAGATACCAGGTTAAGACATCAATAGATACCAGGTTAAGATATCAACAGATACCAGGTTAAGACATCAACAGATACCAGGTTAAGACATCAACAGATACCAGGTTAAGACATCAATAGATACCAGGTTAAGATATCAACAGATACCAGGTTAAGACATCAACAGATACCAGGTTAAGATATCAATAGATACCAGGTTATGACATCATTAGATACCAGGTTTAGATATCAATAGATACCAGGTTATGACATCAATAGATACCAGGTTAAGATATTAATAGATACCAGGTTAAGACATCAATAGATACCAGGTTTAGATATCAATAGATACCAGGTTATGACATCAATAGATACCAGGTTTAGATATCAATAGATACCAGGTTATGACATCAATAGATACCAGGTTAAGATATCAACAGATACCAGGTTAAGATATTAAAAGATACCAGGTTAAGATATTAATAGATACCAGGTTAAGACATCAATAGATACCAGGTTAAAACATCAATAGATACCACGTTAAGATATCAATAGATACCAGGTTATGACACCAATAGATACCAGGTTAAGATATCAATAGATACCAGGTTATGACACCAATAGATACCAGGTTAAGATAACAATAGATACCAGGTTATGACACCAATAGATACCAGGTTAAGACATCAATAGATACCAGTCTTCTGTGTTTCACATCTGAGGATCCTAATTGTTTGTGATGCAATCCAGTAAAGATAGCAAAGATGCAAAAGATTCTAAGGCAGCTTGAGATACCAGGTTAAGATATCAATAGATACCAGGTTAAGACATCAATAGATACCAGGTTATGACATCAATAGATACTAGGTTAAGACATCAATAGATACTAGGTTAAGACATCAATAGATACCAGGTTAAGATATCAATAGATACCAGGTTAAGACATCAATAGATACCAGGTTAAGATATCAATAGATACCAGGTTAAGACATCAATAGATACCAAGTTAAGACATCAATAGATACCAGGTTATGACACCAATAGATACCAGGTTAAGATATCAATAGATACCAGGTTATGACACCAATAGATACCAGGTTAAGATATCAATAGATACCAGGTTATGACACCAATAGATACCAGGTTAAGATATCAATAGATACCAGGTTATGACACCAATAGATACCAGGTTAAGACATCAATAGATACCAGGTTATGACACCAATAGATATCAGGTTAAGATATCAATAGATACCAGGTTAAGACATCAATAGATACCAAGTTAAGACATCAAAAGATACCAGGTTAAGATATCAATAGATACCAAGTTAAGACATCAAAAGATACCAGGTTAAGACATCAACAGATACCAGGTTAAGAAATCAATAGATACCAGGTTAAGACATCAATAGATACCAGGTTAAGACATCAATAGATACCAGGTTAAGACATCAATAGATACCAGGTTAAGACATCAATAGATACCAGGTTTAGATATCAATAGATACCAGGTTATGACATCAATAGATACCAGGTTAAGATATCAACAGATACCAGGTTAAGATATTAAAAGATACCAGGTTAAGATATTAATAGATACCAGGTTAAGACATCAATAGATACCAGGTTAAAACATCAATAGATACCACGTTAAGATATCAATAGATACCAGGTTATGACACCAATAGATACCAGGTTAAGATATCAATAGATACCAGGTTATGACACCAATAGATACCAGGTTAAGATATCAATAGATACCAGGTTATGACACCAATAGATACCAGGTTAAGACATCAATAGATACCAGTCTTCTGTGTTTCACATCTGAGGATCCTAATTGTTTGTGATGCAATCCAGTAAAGATAGCAAAGATGCAAAAGATTCTAAGGCAGCTTGAGATACCAGGTTAAGATATCAATAGATACCAGGTTAAGACATCAATAGATACCAGGTTATGACATCAATAGATACTAGGTTAAGACATCAATAGATACTAGGTTAAGACATCAATAGATACCAGGTTAAGATATCAATAGATACCAGGTTAAGACATCAATAGATACCAGGTTAAGATATCAATAGATACCAGGTTAAGACATCAATAGATACCATAGTTAAGACATCAATAGATACCAGGTTATGACACCAATAGATACCAGGTTAAGATATCAATAGATACCAGGTTATGACACCAATAGATACCAGGTTAAGATATCAATAGATACCAGGTTATGACACCAATAGATACCAGGTTAAGATATCAATAGATACCAGGTTATGACACCAATAGATACCAGGTTAAGACATCAATAGATACCAGGTTATGACACCAATAGATATCAGGTTAAGATATCAATAGATACCAGGTTAAGACATCAATAGATACCAAGTTAAGACATCAAAAGATACCAGGTTAAGATATCAATAGATACCAAGTTAAGACATCAAAAGATACCAGGTTAAGACATCAACAGATACCAGGTTAAGAAATCAATAGATACCAGGTTAAGACATCAATAGATACCAGGTTAAGACATCAATAGATACCAGGTTAAGACATCAATAGATACCAGGTTAAGACATCAATAGATACCAAGTTAAGATATTAATAGATACCAGGTGAAGACATCAATAGATACCAGGTTAAGACATCAACAGATACCATGTTAAGATATCAATAGATACCAGGTTAAGATATCAACAGATACCAGGTTAAGATATCAACAGATACCAGGTTAAGATATCAACAGATACCAGGTTAAGATATCAATAGATACCAGGTTAAGACATCAATAGATACCAGGTTAAGACATCAACAGATACCAGGTTATGACATCAACAGATACCAGGTTAAGATATCAATAGATACCAGTCTTCTGTGTTTAATATCTGAGGATTCTAATTGTTTGTGATGCAATCCAGTAAAGATAGCAAAGATGCAAAAGATTCTAAGGCAGCTTGAGATACCACGTTAAGATATCAATAGATACCAGGTTAAGACATCAATAGATACCAAGTTAAGACATCAATAGATACCAGGTTAAGATATCAATAGATACCAGTCTTATGTGTATCATCTCTGAGGATCCTAATTTTTTGTGACGCAATCCAGTAAAGATAGCAAAGATGCAGAAGATTATAAGGCAGCTTGAGATACCAGGTTAAGACATCAATAGATACCAGGTTAAGACATCAATAGATACCAGGTTAAGACATCAATAGATACCAGGTTAAGACATCAATAGATACCAGGTTAAGACATCAATAGATACCAGGTTAAGACATCAATAGATACCAGGTTAAGACATCAATAGATACCAGGTTAAGACATCAATAGATACCAGGTTAAGACATCAATAGATACCAAGTTAAGACATCAATAGATACCAGGTTTAGACATCAATAGATACCAAGTTAAGACATCAATAGATACCAAGTTATGACATCAATAGATACCAGGTTATGACATCAATAGATACCAGGTTAAGACATCAATAGATACCAGGTTAAGATATCAATAGATACAAGATTCCCGTGTTTCTACTCTGACGATCTAACTTTTTGTGATGCAATCCACTTAAGATAGGAAAGTGGTAGAAGAAGAAGTGTGCAGATTTATGACGCAATTTGTGCTTTCAACAAAAATAATCATATAGATATATATTTTGCTAGCTTCAGTGACAAGGTGTGATGCAGATTTTGTTCATCTTGGAAGATGTATGGGTGACATTGACGCTGACACCTGGGAGTGCAACAACACTGTAAGTTGTCATTTAACTCCTTAGGTCATGGGGTCTTTGTAGCCAAGTGGTCAAACTGTTCACTTCTCACTCGGAAGGTCAGAAGTTCGTTACAAGGTGGCATCCTTCAGTTCATGAGTGCAATTTTTATGGAGATTCCTGGGATCATTGCCAGAGCTATGGAGCTCTAGCTTTGTGTAACATTCTCAGCAGATGACTAGCTGTTCTGCAGAGAGAGATTGAGCAATGTGGGATTAAACCCAATGCAATGAAGTCTATCTTCTCATCATTTTTTTAAAACCTTTAGTCCCATGAAGACACTGATTTTACACACTACACCCCAAACATTTGTTACTCAAATTAAAACATATTCAGATAGGAACGGGTTCAAACAATAACAATACATGAGAACATAAAACCATTCCCCTGGCTTTCATTTTAGAAATGCTGTTTGATTCAAATTAAAACCTAAGTAAATGCTATTTTTAGTGAATGCTGTCACAAAATGACCTTCTAAATGTTTGTGCAGGGGTGAAGTGGACCAATAGCATCAACTATGCCTCTCGTAAACAGGTCACTATAGGCGTCGGAAAAGTTACTTTTGCAGGGAATTCGGCCCAGCAGGAAGAGTCGGTTTTGCGGTTTCTTGTCAGCAGTCGATCAACAGTTTTTGGTTATGGTCTCAAGTTGCTGGCGGTATAAGCTGAGGTCCACTCTATGGCTGTAGTCAACTACCAGTATAGCAACTGAACAATATGGTCACTGCCAAGAAGTATGCTAACATAAAACTATTTTTTTTTAAACTGATAGCTAGACAGTTATGATTGAACAACTGATATTTGAGAAAAATGGCATCAATGGGTGCTCCCTAAAAATAATAAGAAGAAGGAGAAGAAGAAGAAGAAAGAAGAAATATAGTCTGGAGTATGAGGCGCAATAGAGGAGGGTAAGAGGGAAGAATTCGGGACTATCAATTATCATAATATTTCTGAAAAAAAAGTTTTTTTTTTTAAATGTCAGTCTTCGTAACAAAGGCTGGTCACAGTGTACCCCTGTAGTTTTTGGTGAGACGGTTTCTGAAAACTATGAGAACGTTAATTGTTATTGTTTAAACCGCTTTTTGTAAAGTAAAAACCCTGTCGCTGAATTTGATAACCGCATTAACCAAACTCTATGCCACAAAGTTGTGCAAAGACATGTATTAAAATGTAACGACAGTTCATTAAAACTTATATTGTCTGTCATTGCCAGGTAAGACTGCTATTTCGGGAACATTCTTACATTGTTCAGACCAACCTGACACTAAAGTTTGTGGCAGAGCTGATTGGCAGGCCTAACTCAGTGGTATTCGTTGGCAATGGCATACATGATGATTACAATTATCCAGAGGCGGCCAATAAGGCAAGTGTGTATAGAGAGTCAAAAATATAAATGTTGGCTTAATCGTCATCTTCATCAGTTGCAAGTCCTTTACAGAACACTGCTCTCACCAAAGCCTCTTGGAAACACTTGGTCCCTCAGTAGTTTACTTGTCTTTTTCTGATTTGTATCATCATCATCTTCTGCTGCCCTTTATTCCCCCATTGAAGCACAGACCCCAACAAACTCATGCCAAGCTGTCTTTCGTTTGGTCCTCTCCTGCAGCTACTCCATGCCCTCCTCTATATTATCTTTCTTTGTTTCTTAGTCTATTGGTGTTTTAGGTCTCCCTCTTTATCTTCTTCCCTGCTTGCTCCAGTACACAGGGAAGGCTTACAAATGCCTGCAGTAGTTGGATATGTCGGTCAAAAGGCGCAAGTACTGCAGCCATGCTGTGAAAGAGCACAACACATTGACATCTTCGGATGAAGGCAGAAGAAGAAGATCACAGTCTTCAGATCCCTAGGCGAGCGCTTAGATGCTGCACCATGGCAGTTGCTGCTGAAAGTTGACATCCATGGAAAGGTCCGGGTATCCATGGAATGTTAGCCAGACTGAGGACACAGTTTGAGGACAGCCTGCACCATGTGGAAGCCACTGTAGCATGATGGCTAGATGCACATCTGCACGTGAAAGTCTAGGGTTCAAATCTGCTGATTCCCTTTTAAAATTAACCTAGGTTCCCATGTGAATCCAGCCTAAAATGGATATGGTAATGTCTTTGGAAGTAAAAACAGTTGGCATGATTTTGACCTCATCAGCCATTGGTCGATCACCATACAGGTTTGACACCAGCGTGAATGCTATTGCCCCAATGGTGTGACATGTGTTCTATACTTTAACTGAACCACCGCGTTTTATCAAGAACGCAAATGCCAAGCTCGCTGTCCTTAAACGGATATGGATTGCACGATAGCTTTCATAAAGGCTACCGGCCTCCTGATATAAGTTTTCTGACAGAAGGATCGAAGAAGAAGAAGAAGAAGACTGAACCACGCCAAGATGCTTCAAGGTCCTGACTAGGCAGGACAACAGTGCTGGTCCTCCCACCATCGCAGCCTCATCAGCACATTAAAATTCAGTCAACAAAATTACAAATGAAAACAATAAAACTCAGAACAAATAATAAGAGCAAAAGCCTCATTCATGACTGGGACAGAAGAACTGATTTGATCCATCACTCTATTGATCAAGTGAGACTTTGAATCGTAGATGCCTACTCCTATCTGCTGGGCACAAATTTACAACTGTTTTCTTTTGTTGGCACAATACTGGATGTTTTCTTTTGTTGGCACAATACTGGATGTTTTCTTTTGTTGGCACAATACTGGATGTTTTCTTTTGTTGGCACAATACTGGATGTTTTCTTTTGTTGGCACAATACTGGATGTTTTCTTTTGTTGGCACAATACTGGATGGGTGTTTTCTTTTGTTGGCACAATACTGGATGTTTTCTTTTGTTGGCACAATACTGGATGTTTTCTTTTGTTGGCACAATACTGGATGTTTTCTTTTGTTGGCACAATACTGGATGTTTTCTTTTGTTGAAAGGTACTGGATAGTGATGTTTTCATGTTATACACGGAATTCTTTTGTTCACATTACTATGTTTTCTCTCTATAACATACTAAAAGACTGTCTTCGTCTAATTTCTCTAACCAGTTTATATTTTACATTTTTTTTTAAAAAGAATAGTTTACATCTTTTTGTTTTTTTTAAAGGACTGTTTTATCTTCTTTTTCTGTCTGTCCATAGTATTCTTTGTATCTTCTTCAGCAACCTCATTTCTTGTTTGCTTCTTGTCTATGTTTCACAGGCAAATAACAATTGTATGACAATTCATTGCAGCTATTTTAACCCCTCCCCCTTCCCCACTGTAATTGGCAGCTTTTTAAAAAAGACAATCTTTATTTTATCTCACAAAAGACCGCTTTTGACAAGGAGATTCTTAAGATGTCTACAAGGCAGATGCTATGACTGTCGTAAGGTAGTTTTCCCCCCTTCTGTTCTCCTATTTAAACATATTATTTACTTAGGCATTACACTGCAGTATTTCTTTCATGCGCGGGGTATGTTAACTATTTGAGTCCCAAGGAACGCATCATACGTTCATAGGTTCCTACCTAGAAGCCCAATGAACGCATGGTGCGCCAATTTTATTACTTTCTTTACTACCCCTTGGGCCTGTGATGCTAAACCCCCTTGGACTCCAAAGAGTCAAGATTGATCTTGGCCGGTGGAATTATTTAATGTCAGCAGTGATTACAAACTGATTTCTCTGATCCCTAGGTTTTACTGCCACTGATCAGAAACTTGTCATCCTCTCCCTGGCCAAAGCTGGTTTGGTCAGCAGTCCATGCGCCTGGATTACTGAAGACTCCTCGTGTTCCCTCCCAGAGCAGAGAAAGTGTTGTGATTTACAACAAGCAACTAAGATCCATTCTGGAAGCCCACCATGTCCCGGTGTTTGACACCTTTCAGCTCACAGACGGAGTTGAAAGTTTCGATGGCGTCCACTATGGAAGAGGAGTTAACGGTGTTAAAGCTCAAATTTTGCTTAATTACCTGCTTCAGCTTCGTTCCAATGGTGAGTTTCCTCTGGAGCGCACCCCGAACTTGAGACCTGAGATAAAGATTTCTTAACTGTGACAATATCTTCTTCTTTTGCATTCATCCAAAGATGTTTCTTCATTGAGCCCCTTTACAGCATGGCTGTGATAATTGCACTTTTCATCCAACATTTCACACTTAACAAAAATGCACTGGTACTATCCGCCACAGCGAGCCACACTAAAACGTTACAACGGGTATAGAGCGAGTGGAAGACCTCGGAAAATATGGAGTGATGGCATTAAGAACAGCTTTACAGAAATGAACATCAGTCTTAATAGTGCTCTTGACAGAGCTCATCAACGAATGCTTTATCTCCCTCCGACACTTGGATGAGGTACAAGGTGGAAGAGAAGAAGAAGCCAACATATCTGACTTCTGCAGGCATTTGTTACTGAGTTAGGCAATCGTAACAATATAATGTAGCTTTGTAGAGGGTTTACAACCCAGACAAGAGACAAGAGTGTTTTGGAAATCCATGGCAGCCGACTTTCATTGTGGAGATGGCACTTGGTTGATTGATTTATTGAATGTAGCCGTAATAATACTTTCTAGACTATTAATAATTCAAATCTTAGATATAGTTTTGTTTTCATCATCATTACCATCAATTTCCACTTTTGCTATTAAGTGTTGTGGGGAGGAACAGTTTGAAATCCATTGCTAGACGGGCAGCAGTGGCTACTGTCATTTCGTGTTAATGTAGAATCTCTTTAATGTCATCAATCCATGCTCTCCAATGGCAGCCTCTTGATTTCCTTCATATTTGTTCATGTGTAGTGCCTGCATTGGTAGATTTTTTTGTCTGCATTGTAACTAGATGACCAAACCATTAGAGCAATTGTAGGAACCACACCATGCCCGCAATACATAAAGAAGCAACAAATAGAGTGGTTTGGCCACTTGATGCGAATGCAAACCGACCAACTGCCTCTACGAGCATACAACGAACAGCACTACTGCCCTAGAGCAAGAGGCAGACCGAGAGTACGATGGATAAACAATATATCAGAGATCCTGAGGCAACACGGACTAACAACAACACGTGCAACACACCTGGCCCAGGATAGAAAACTGCGACTCCCCACTACGCTGTGAGGCAATTGTGGACAAGACAAGACAAGAAGACAAGACCAAACCATTTGATCTTCTGTTTCCAAATGACTTTGCTGCATGGTGTTGTTCCTACAGTCCGTCTGATTATATCATTTCTCACTTAGTCTCGGACGGTTAAGCTGGCCGCTTTTCCTAGGCACCTAATTTCACAGGTGTTAATTTAACTCATGTTAGCCTTTGAGTTTTGCTTTATACATCTTTTCTTCTTGTGTTCGTTTTCTGATTTACGCCGACAGACAGGTTCTTGTGATAAACTTGACTGTTTTTATGAGTTCTTTTTTAGTCCCATACAACTTTGTGTACAGTGATGACTCACTGGGCCAGTATTCCTTTCTTAATAGGCTGAACAAGGGACAGTCTTGCAGGACATGTTCTGTAGTCTGCACACATAGCCCACAAGGGCAAAAAGGTTTACTACTTAGATGAAGCCTGTGCATATGCTGGTTAAGTTTGTTATGTCCTGTCCTGAGACGTAGGATAATGACCTGCCCATGCTGGTCAAGTAAGTGTTAGTCATCTCTGGCCAGACTCTGTTTATTTCTAATAGCCTGGAAGACCCTTTTCTTCTCACAGTATGTTACTGCATTCTCTTCCTGGTCACATTCTGCCCCTTTCTTTGCAAGTTTATCTGCGGTTTCGTTTCCTGGTATATCACAGTGAGATGGCACCCACTGGGGTACAGTACATTTTTGGGTAGCCACATTGCCAAGTTCAAGTGAGGGAGTTTGCCACTCCTGAGGGCTTGAAGCACCGATAACGCATCTGTGAATATGACCACTTGGTGGCAGTCAGAACTGGTGCTGTGTAATATTTCGGCAGTCTGCTCTAGTGCTACGATATCTGCTGTGTAGTTGGAACATAATTTACCAGTGGGTATACACTTTTTGTGTCGGTGGTTGCTTGGGAATGTAATAAAGATTTCAGCACCCCCATTTTTAACCGCATTGGTTGCGGATCCATCTGTGTAAACATGTATCCACGACTGTTCGGGATAGTTTTCCTGAATTATGCTAAGAGCAGCTGTTTCTTTTTAAAGGTCATTGGACTCATCTCCATTTGTGAATCCATTGACTGAAGTCATTATCTGTAATGTATCACTGACTTGCTCCCAAGGTACAGGGTAGATTTCAGCGGTGTTGTTCTAATAGGTAGATCTGCTTGATACTGTCTTCTATATCTTTTCCTCGATGGACAAAGCTGCTACGTTTGAGATGCCCTAATGCCAGATCATCTAACCTTTCATTCATTGGGTGTGACTGCATACTATTAAACTTCATCTGGATCATAGTTTTAGTGTCTCTTCTTGAGGACAATGTCTGCATTGCAGTTATTTTTTGCGTCTCCAGGATTGGTGCAGTTTTCATGGATCCTGTGATGAGTCTAAAGGCTTGATTTTGCACTCTAACAATTGTAGATAGGAATTAGCAGCTATTGACCATGCTGTTGCACCAAACTCCAAGTGGGGTCTTATCGCTCCATTATAAACTTTTTTTAGGGTTTTTCCACTTGCTCCCTATCCTGTACCTGCCAGTTTTCTAAGCAGGCCTAGTTGTCTCCTGGCCTTCCCTTCTATCTTTTCTACATGTTTGCTCCACGTGAGCCTTTTATCAAATGTTACTCAGAGATAAGTGGGGAAGCTTTCTTCCTTTAGCAAGGATGTTCCTAGCTGAATACTAGCAGCTTTGTCTCAGGGGAAAAGAGAGAAAAGTTTTGTGGATGTTTTGTCTGTGTTGATGGCAACATGCCACTTCTCTGTCCGTGTCATTAAGAGATCTGCTGCTCGCTGCATTCTTAGATTTGCCACTGTGATGTGTTCATCAGTACACCAGAGTGCCAGATCATCTGCATACAGGGCAGCTTTTACTCCTGTAGGGAGGTCTTTCACCAGATAATTTATTTGAACAAGAGAGTTGGAGAGACAACTCCTCCCTGTGGTACTCCTTGACGAAGCAACACTTTTCTGCTCTGCTGGCCACCAAGACTGACTCTAGTTCTCCTGCTGTGTAAGAAGGATTGGATCCATTTTAGCATCTTTCCTTGGATTCCATTTCTCTTCAGTTTTGCAATGAGACCATCTTTCCAGACTTTGTCACAGGCTTGTTTGAACCTTTTTCTTCTCTTGGAAGGCATCCTCTACAGCTCATGACAGGTGGGTGACTTGGTCTTTCTATGCTGAGACATTCCCTAAATCCAGCCTGCTCTGGCACCAAGATCTGCCCAGATTCTAAGTGCCATTTCAGTCTTGAATTTACAATTCTTTCCTACACAGTTATACATCTGAAGCATTTTTCCCCAAGTAAATCAGCGGTGCTCGATTGACAGAATTCAATAAACTAACATCTTCTGAAGTAATGGTTTCTTATATATTATCATCCTCACCGAAGGCCTTGCCAACTGGCGTGGGCAATCATGTCCCTCCACAATCTGCGACTGCATGTATCAGTATATGTGTAATGACACCCCACCCTGCTATGATAAAAGGCTGATAAGAATCTTCTCGCATTGTCTTCTTGTCTCTTTTTTCTATAAAACTTCCCAGTGTTTACAAAACATTCCAGTTTCCCTTTCCTCATAACATGAAGAAACAATTTATTGATCTTATCTTTCTGATGTTTATGATAAGTTCTCTTCCTCATCCAAAATCAAGACATCTGGGATGCTCTTTTTGACTGTCCTAGAAATTCCAAGGACTGCAAAACTACATCTATGAGGTTCAAGAAATTGTTTGGTAGGTTTATTAATTGTCCAGGATTCATAGCCATATGTTAAAACTGGCTCTGTATAGTGTGCAAGAATTCTTTTCCCATCCTCCAATGACATGGATTTATTGCACAAAATATTCATTTTATACAATGCAGGTTTAGCCTGTCCTACTGTGTTCTTGATGCAAAACATTTTCTACTGGATGTTAACCATGTAACTAGCTATTTAACATTTTGTATTTGTCCCAAAATAACGCCTTTGACTTTTATTATACATTAGGAACATATTTATATTATATTACACATAGGCACTATTTCTTTCTTGGATATAAGAGCTATTCCAAAATCAAACTCTGGCTGGCTGGTGAAAATAAACCACTTGTCATAGTGACACTGTTCATTGCTTGCATCATTCAGCAGTCTTTTAGCTTGCTACATATCAACCTACAGTTGCATTTGTTTAGCCGTTGGTTCGAACAAATAAACACGGACACTGTTATTGCCTTTTCCGCCACCTGTGAAATTCTTTGTGAGATTTATTTTTAAAGGTCATTTTAAAAACAATCCAACTTGATGCGGATTTAACCTAAGACTTTTTGGGGTTGGCAGATAAGCATTTTATTACTCAAACCTGTTAGTTTTACATTAGCTGATCAATCAGTGTTATGTGTGACTCTGTTTTTAGGGTTATCTGTGATTCTTTTTTTTCAAGATAATTATTTGAGATCTGTAATGCCTAGTTTAAAAGTTGAATGTCTTTTGCTATTATCTCTTTAGAATTCCCTGTCTGGGTTTTAGGGCCCTATTGTGAGGAAGAAAACAGAACAGACCTAAGCCCCTCCCTAATAAGCATGTCATAAAATCCCACTTATCAGGGGGTTTCCTTAAAAGTCGGAGTGCATCGGTTTGATGAACCAACAGTCTGCATACAAAAAAAGCCAGATCTGTAAAATGGATGTGCACACAAAACTACATTTCTGGACCAAGACTAAAGTCCAGAAGTGGACAAACAACCAGAACTTTGTGCCGCAGTTTACAGCCGGTGAGCACAAAGAACACTTCTTGAGAATAATCAGTGGTTTTTTTCAACGATAAATTATTGAATGCATCTATGGTCCCGAGACTTCCAGATTCAATATTATTATTGTTATCATATACTGATATTCGCGGCGTCCGTGGCTAAGGCGTTGCGAGTCCGACTCGTAAGCCAGCATA